TTTTGTGTATCTGCTACACCATTTACTTTTGTGGTTACCATGAGGCTTACAAATAGCAACTCGTATTTATAACAGCCTGTTTTAAGTTGATAACTTTTGAATCCGTTCCAAAGCTCTACACCCCCAACCCATTTTATATTTTTATGTCATATTTTACATCCTTTTATATTGTATATCCTTTAATTCCTGTAGTTACAATGATTTGTTTTACCTTTTGTCTTTTAACCTTCCTACTAAGTTTAAGTGATTAATTGGGTTGGCCAAAAAGTCCATTATGTTTTTTTCTGAAAAATAAGACACATTTTTTTTTTAAAGATTTTATTTATTTATTTTTTGGGGAGGGAAGGAAGGGGGAGAGAGAGAGAGAGAGAGAGAGAGAGAGAGAAACATCAATGTGCGGTTGCTGGGGGTTATGGCCTGCAACCCAGGAATGTACCCTAGCTGGGAATCGAACCTGGGACACTTTGGTTCCCAGCCTGTGCTCAATCCACTGAGCTACGCCAGCCAGGACTAATAAGACACATTTTTTATTTTCACCAATAACTTTATTGATTTGGGTATTTTGAGTATGTCAGCTGTCTCTCACTATTGGCTTCCAGTGGACAGAGGCCCTGGGTCCCACGTAACATCTTTCAATGCGTACGAGAGCAGCACAGCAGAGAATTATTTGGCCAAAATGTCAATAGTATAAGATGTTTACTACTTTTGACACATCCAGTCAGTCATAGCACCTTCTCTATAAACCGCACAAATCTTTTTTTAGTGTTTCAGTTGCATTTTTACCTTCCTTGAAATAATGCAACATTTTCAGTATATTATGCTTTATATTTTCTTCCATCTTCAATATTAAAATGGCTGCACAAAATTTCACCAATTATAAGTTTTATTTTAAATGAACACTGATATGACAGCTGCCATAATACAATCTAACAAAACTGTTTCAAATGAAGTTAAAGACAACTAAACACTACTAGAGCCGTCATGTGGAAAAAAATGTTACAGACTTTTTGGCCAACTCAATACATACTTTTACCAGTTATTTGTATTTTACTTTCCTAAATGTTTTCCTGTAATTCACTAGCAACCTTTCATTTACCTTCAAGAAGTCCCTTTAACATTCCTTGCAAGGCCAGTTCAGTGGTGAACTCCGTTAGCCTTTTGCGTGTCTGGGAAATTCACTATCTCCTTCATTTCTGAATGACAACTTTGCTGGGTAGAGCAGTCTTGGCTGGAAGTTTTATTTCCTTTCAGCACTTTGAATGTATAGTAGTACCTTGTAGACTGGAAAGTTTCTGCTGAAAAATCTGATAGTCTTATGGGAGCTCCCTTGTACATAAGAAATCGTTTTTCTCTTACTGCTTTTGAGATTGTCTCCTTGTCTTTGACTTTTTAATTATTTAACTTAATTTTAATGTGTCTTAGTGTGGGTCTCTTTGGGTTCATCTTGTTTGGAACTTCCTGGGCTTTCTAGATCTGGACGTTTGTTTCCTTCCCCAAGTTAGGGAAGTTTTCTGCCTCTTTCTCTTCTCCTTCTCGGATCCCTATAATGCAAATGTTGGCCTCCAGCTGTCCTCATTTTCTTTCCCATTCTGTTTTCTCTTTGTTACTCTGATTGAGTTCCACTGCCATCTTCTCATCCCTTCTTCTTCAATAGTGGCTGATAAGCCCCTCTAGTGTGTATTTCAGTTTAATTATTATATCCTTTAGCTCTGTGACTTCTATTTGGTACTTTCATATATTTTCTAACTCTGTTGAAGTTTTGTATTCACCCATTCTTCTCCTTTGTGGGCCTGCTGGAATTCAATGAGCATCTTTATGACCATTATTATGAACAGTTTATTAGGTAAGTCACTTATCTCCATTTCATTATGGACTTTTTATGTGGCTTTGTCTTTTTTTTTCTTTAACACATTCCTCTGCCTTCATTTTCTTGGATACTTTGTGTTGGTTTCTATGCTTTAGATAACACAGCTACCTCTTCCAGTCTTGAAGAGGTGGCCTTATGACGGAAATGAACCTTATCAATCAACCTTGTCCTGGATCTTGGCTGTCTCTCAAACCTTTGTGATTGTCTAAGCAGCTCTTTAATCTTAGGAGCTCCCAGTAGTCGAGAGTGTGCTGAGATCTGTCAGTGTTCCAAAGGGGAGAGCATCTCAGTCAGCACCTAGGATCAGGCTGACTAGACACCAGGCCTTCAGGCAGCAGATTTTAAAGGATGCAAATATGTGGTTATGTGGGACCATAAGGGTTAAGTCCCACTGGCCACCAGAACCAGGTGATCTAGAGGTGCCCACTGGGAGAAGCTGCAAATAATTGAGGCACCAGAGAAGGGTGCCAGCTCCTTTCCAGGAGGTACTGGCAAGCTGGAGTGAAGCAGTGGGTGAGTGCAAAGATGGCACCCGCTGGCTGGAGCGAAGGTGAGAGCAAGACAGCATCCATCAGCCACTGTCCCTGGTAAATAATTCAGCAGGCCCCTAGGTGTGTGCTAAATTAGATGGCTGTCCTTCATGCTGACACTTATGCCATTTAAGACTCTTTCATAGAAAGTCTAGGAGCCTGTCTATCTGTGGCCTCTGCACTGGGCTCTAGGGCTGTTCAGTTTAAGCATGCAAGCCCTTTAAGGACCATTTTATCAGTTCACTATAGCTTCGCAGGTCTTATGGATGCAAGCCTTGTTGGCTTTCAAAGCCAGATGTCTTGAGACCTAGTCTTTCAGGTGCAGTTCTTGTAAGTTGGGGTGCCAAATATGGGCTTCAAACTTAGTTCTTTAGGAAGAAGTTCTGGGTTTTGAGTTACCCCCAATTGTGGGTTGCGATACTGAGGGTAAGATTTATGGCAAGATTGTATCTCGGCCTCTCCTATCTCTTTTAATGTGGGGTTTTTTTTCTCATTTGCCCAATGAGTAAGAGTTACTCAGCTAGTTTCTGGATTTTTTTTTCGGAGAAAATTGTTTCACCTATAGATTTAGTGTGTCCATGGAGGAGGTGAGTCCAGGCTCTTCCTATGTTGCCATCTTGAACTAGAACTATCTTGTTTTAAAGAGTTTTGATGTAGCTGGAGTATTGTTTTTAAAGCTGTACTATTAATTCATCATTATAGTTAAGGGATCATAGTAATAACCATCTGAATCACAAGTTCTAAGAATTGGAAGGGATCCAGAGGTTGTCTAATGTAACTTCCATTCCTTTCCTGACAACAGTTGCCATAATTTGAATAATGCTCCCAACTGTTCTGTTCCATCAAGGCCCAATTCTACAAAACTGGAACCTGTGGCTTCCACTCATTAGCCTCAGTTTTACTCTCTAGAGCAACATGAAAAATTATATATTAATAGTCTTCCCTCCCAGGTGGTATCAAATTAATATTTTGGATTATAGAAACTCTAAGATCTTCCCTAATTCTGTATACTACCTCTATATTCTAAAACTTACATAGACTACATTATCTGGTGGTATTCCCCCAGCCTTTTAAAATGTCCCAATTTGCAGAGGTTCTTACAATGAACAGTATATCATAACCACATTATTTCCTTAATGAGACACAAAGTCAAGGTTTATTTTATAACTGATGGTGATTTAGATGTAACGGAATGCAGGCAAACTTGTACCGTCAATGTGTGATGACACAAGGGGAACTGTCTTGTCGGAAGTGGTGGTCTGGGACTTTATAGAGAGGTGAAGGTGGAAAATACATCCACTCATCCCAACAGTCCCCAATCTCTCAGTCACATCACAGCATCAGGTCTAAGGCCCCAAAGCATTTTGAGAGATCAGCTAAACTAGGGAGGAATTAATGATTCAGCAACCAGCATGTCATTGCCGATCTCAGGCAGAGCTTAAGAAGAGGAAGAAATCTTAGATCTTTCAAGGATGGGGTTAGGGTGGTAGGCAGAAGGGCTTCTAAGTTTGAATATTGCTTTTAAAGTGGTGAAAAAAACTTAAACATATTATAAAAGGAAAAACTGAGATGAAGAGAGTGAAGACTTTGGAGAGAGTGGATTATTGACATCTGAGAGAGAAGAGGCTGAAGAGTAGGAAGCCAGGAGAGGGCTTGTCAGTGGGTAAGTGGAAGAAGACCTTAGGGATTTTTCTGCAGGGTGGCCTCAATTTTTCTCTTTGAAGTAGAAGTCAAGGCCATCTGCAGACAGTAGGGGAATGTGTTAGAAAGGAAGGGGCCAGCACAGACTGCTTAGCTAACATTGGGCACCATAAAATTACAATGGTCTCATCAGTATTTTGTACAATATTCTCTAGATCAGCATAGGACTTTGGTGGTGTTTTAACAATTGTGTTAAGAATGTTCATTCATATTACTAAAGTACCGGTTAGCTAAAAAAAAAGTCTTAGTAGCTCAATTTACAATAGCCAAATGCTAGAAACAGCATAAATGCCCATCATTAAATGAGTGGATCAAAAAACCATGGTACACTTACACAATGTAATACTATGCAGCAGAATGAAAAAAGGAACTCTTACCCTTCGAGACAGCATAGGTGGAGAGCATTTTTCTAAGTGAAATAAACCAGGTGATGAAAGATAAATACCATATGATCTCACCTGTAAGTGGAGATTAGTCAACAAAACAAAGAAGCAAGCAAAATAGAACCAAAGACATTGAAATAAAGAACAAACTGACAGTGATCAGAGAGGCAGTGGGGAGGAGGATAATAGGGCAAAGAAGGAAAGGGTTGTCAAGAAACATGTATAAAGGACGCATGGACAAAGACAATGGAGGCAGAGTGAGAGGACTGAATGTCGGAGGTGGGGGTAGGTAAGATGGGGGAAGGTAATGGTGAGGAAATAGGGACAGTTGTAATTGCACAATAAGTTAAAAAAATACCTTCAATTTCTTTACCAAGACAGGCTAGTGGATAGATAGTGCTTAAAGCTTAAATTATTTTATCCTAAATAGATTCCAATCAAATTAAATGACTAAAAGGTTAAATGCCATTTTATGCAATTGCTAAATTAATTTGCAATATATTTAACTGCTTTGTTTACCTTTGCAGAATTCTTTGCTTTCCCCTTATTCTTGGGTGCTTTGGAGGTGGAAGCAGTCTTTTCCTCTTTGTCCTAAAGCAAAGGAAAGGTAATGAGGCTATTGCTATCATCAATCCACCTAGCAATTAGGTATTGGCTGTAATTAATCAATTCAGACTATTCTTTTTAGCAGCCTGGAAACCTTCAATTTAATTAAATAATGGAAAATTTGGGGTGTTTTAATCACAATTTTTTGAGCCATGGTGAATGTACACAGAAATGATTAAGGTGGGGGGGGGGTAAAAAGGATAAAAATGGAGGAAATGTGGGTCACAATGATGCTCTGCCAATTTCCATGATGCATGATTCACCCAGAGCACATTTTCCTCATCAACACACAGCTTATTTCTCTTGGGATTGGTTTTTATGTACTATAGACTAAGAATAGGACATTGTTTTCAGTGTTATAGAAGATAAATGTAACAATGGAGACAACCACAGACAGCTGGGGCAAGTCACACATAAAAATAAAGCCCCCTCACTAAAAAGGCGTTAATTATGAGTTTCCAGGAGGCAGAAATCAGATGCTGAGAAAGACTAGAAATTAAGTCACTAAGTAGGGGAAGGAATGGCAATTCAGTGATGGGAGATATGATTAATAACACCAAAGCAATAGCAAACTGTGATCTACAGTATTAATTCTTCTGAAAATAACAAGGAAAGGTATAATTTATAGGTAAAATGCCACACATGCACACTTGTTGCATTACATATTACTTTTTTCATTTGGAGAATCTCACATTTGGAGAATCTGCTATATACCAGACATTTTGCTAGTCCTGAGCGGAGAGGTGAAAGACACATCACTACTGCGTAAAGTACACAGCTCGGTGGTGAACTACACGTGTAACTCTAGGCAACGCTGGTGGCAGGGAAGGAGGAAAGGCTTCCAGCTGTGGCCTGGGAAGGGAAAAGCAGTAAGGAAAGTCTTCCTGAAGGAGCAGAGGGTTGCACTGGGTCCTGGCGGATGGGAAGGAAACCCCAGGTCAGTGGGCACAAGAGAGTGTGGTGGAGTAAGGGACCCCTTTCATTTTAAATAAACACAGGCAAAGCATTCTTGTTACATAGCAATACAGTGTGGCAATCAAAAATGATGGCAATAGAGAAGCAACCTGGAAAGCATTTATGAAGTTATGTTAAGCAGTATACTATATGGACTCGGAGTACAACTATGTAAAATACATACATATGGAAAAAGACAAGAAATGTACCAACTAGTGTTTGTGGGGTAGCAGAATTATACGCATACATGTGTATACACACATGAACACACATTCATAGAAAGTAAGTATGAAAAAGCACAGTACCTTTGCTGTGTTCTCAGAGGTTTCTGTAGTTGGAGGACAGCTGTCTAAATCCCCTGACAGAGCATCGATGGGGTCTCGGCCATCCTCAGGTTTCTGAGGTATTAACAGAAGTAACCGGCAGTGAACAAACACAAGGCAAAAATGCTATGGAGTGGCTTTCCCCACATCACCGAAAATCAATGACACTTATTAAAAACCTTGCTGACATTCCTTTCCTGACAAAGTAATGTATTATAAAGGAGATAGTAAAACAGGAAAACAGTGACAGCTTTATTTTATTCTATTCTTTTATACAAGTTGCTTGGTCTTCTCTGAGCCTTGATTTTCTATATGGAAAATGGAACTGCCTATTTTGAAGGGTTCTTGGAAAGACTGAAAGAGAAATAATACACATACTCTTAAATGCACTTGGCATCATACCAAGCACAGGGTAAGCATTCAATAAATTTTAGATTTCTAAACTGCACCAGTTGCAGCTAGAATTAAAAATAAATTATACAAGCATGCAGCTGTGGTATGTACCTTTGATTCCTTGGGTTTCTCTGTTGGGGGCGCCACTGGTTTGCCCTTAAACACAAAGCAGAATATTGGTTAGACATAAATTTTTGTAAAGGTTTACTTAGGTGTAGTCAGTATTTATATAATGCATGTATATTACCCAGTGACTTGACTGGGAGAGTACCTATCTGCCACAACTGATTAACCTGGATCCCTCCTATTTCCCCACCAACTTTGGCTAAGTACCACCTTGCAACTATTTCAATATTCCTGGGGAAAATACAAGAGGGAAAGTCTGGTCCTGGAAGTGAAAGAAACACTAATTATTCAGGAACTTTCTGCCATCACATTAAAATTCTGCTTAAAATGTTACAAAAAGTAACTTGTATTTTTATGTCCTATTTATTATAGCTTATCATATTTCAGAAGGATTCGAGGCACTGGAACAGTCTACAGATGTATTAGGGTTTTTTTTTTCAATCAGGATTATGAGTACAACTCATCAGGGATTTTTCCCGTCTACGAAGGCAAGGACATTAAATAATACATTTTCCAAAGAACACACACAGGGTCCAGTGGAACCATCGAGCAGGGAGGACTCTAGCAGGGTGCAGAACTGCTCTCTTGGGGAATACAGAATAAAAGCAAGAAGTGATTCCTGTATGAAACGACACTCAAGTTGGTAATACCGTTTAAATCAAATGAAGCAGTACAGAGAGGATGTAATTTGGACTTCCTTGTTCTCCTTTGGTGAAAAGGCCTGGAAAGGGTTATTTATCATCTAATTAACTTACAACTAGGAGCCTAACGGGAAGGGGTGAGGTACAGGCCAGGCTGACCTAAGAAAAAAATGGCTTCCATGTTAGAGACACAGGCCAGGCCTTCTTGACAATATATTTAGATAGAGAAACAGGACTTGTGATTGAGAATATGGTTTTGCCTGTCTTCTCTCAACAGTGTAGGAGAAGGAAGAAAGGGAGACCCCAGGTCTTGGAGGTACCTTATCTGCCCTATTAACTATTCCAATACTAGCTCCTTTATTGTTCTTAAACAGAGAGACTCTGCTTCAGTCAGGATTACAAATATCACTTTTTTATAGCCTTTTCTTATAAAAAGGGTTCATCTGTGTACATGCCTTGGAATCATTGTTGAGCATCAGTGAGTGACTGAACATTGTTCAACTCTCTTTATACCAAGGTGTCCAGCATAACTAAACAAAAAGTTTTATTGGCTCAAATAAATATTAAATAGAATCCTTGACAGCCTGTTTGACAGGGGCACATTAAAAATAGTCACATTACATTTCTATGCTGTTGTTAAAGTGCAACTCCTATTCATTTCAAGTGGAGTTTGAATGTAAAAAGCTTTGTCATATACATCCAATGTGGACCTCTGCCTTCACTTACCTTATCTTTATCCAAGAGATGTCTGTATTCGGGGGGGATGGTGTCATCTCTCTCTCCCAGCTTGTCTCTGTGTTCAGCTTTAACTTTTTCCTATAAACATTAAATAGATATAATTAATATTCCTTTCCTCTTTTGCTCATAGGATGCATTCTGAAGTGCAGCACTCAGCATTTATTGTACTTTTCTGAGGCAAAAATGTACCCATCTTTATTTTTTAAGCAAGAGAGTAACACACTGGATAATTGCACAGGCCATTAGTTCACCAAAAAAAGTAAACTCATGTGCTTCTATATGTCAGATTACATCTGTGACTTTCCTACCTGTATTTTAAACTGAAATAAATGATTAGAAAATTATCCTCAGAAACTATGTGAAGAGATAAAACCCAAAGACATAAAATATCTGTGTGTTTCACTTTTTTTTAAAAGATTTTATTTATTTATTTTTAGGGAGGGAAGGGGGAGAGAGAGAGAGAGAGAGAGAGAGAGAGAGAGAGAGAGAGACAAAGAGAGAGAGAGAGAAACATCAATGTGCGGTTGCTGGGGGTTATGGCCTGCAACCTAGGAATGTACCCTGGCTGGGAATCGAACCTGGGACACTTTGGTTCCCAGCCTACACTCAATCCACTGAGCTATGCCAGCCAGGTGTGTTTCACTTTTCAAATAAAGAAATCAAATCACTGCACTTTGGCACTGAGAGAGGTAATAACCACCACTATTTATAAGTAAAGCTGAAGGACCAGGATGCACAGCAAATCTGAATGGATGTGCTGACTACTTATGTTGTAAGTGAGGGGACACCTGTTGCTAAGCAGCACCTACCATCCAACCTCCCCACCTCAGTGGGGTGTGGCTGGTCACTGTCACAAATTCAGTGACTCTAACTCTCCTCCACCTAATGGGGGGGTGCTTTAGATTTTATTTTTCTGCATCATTATAATTTAATTTTTCAAATATAGGTTAAGTTCACATCAATGTTCCTATAACAATGGTAGAATCAAGATTGTAACCATTCTTTGAAATGCTGTCTATGGGACACCAATTTGGACAGTCAGTTGCTTCCTGATTCCAGACTAAATGGATTGTTGAATTGCAGATTGTTGACTGTATGCTAAGTATCAATAAGTCCCTATACATGTTGCATAAGACATGGAGAGTTAACCGTTTGTTCCTTGTAGACAGACCTCGGCACAGCGTCAAACTCCTGGTCAAAGCTCTCCTCCTTTTGGAGTCTGTGTGCAGAGTTAGTTACGAGGGTGGACCAGGCTGCTAAGGAAACTCCCGCCGCAGCATACGCAGAGTGTGTCAACCCAAAAACGGCACACATACAGGTATCATATATGTGATGTCTCATTACCAGACAAAACCAAGGAAAGTTAATTTGGGAAGAGAATAAAATTAACAAAGCAGAGGTGTGCTTTTCCATCGTAACAAGGTTTGGCCTCACAAACAGTGCATTTGCCTGAATCTATGACATAGCACAGTCCTCACTGAGGAAATACAACACCGCCAACAGGAAAGTATGAGATATGTTATCCAACTGTTCACTAACTCCACACAAAGTCAGAAGTGTCTTTTTTTTCTTTTTGTGTGGAGGGTAGGGTATTCAAAGCTATAAAATATCTTAAATTTTCACTTATTTTTCTCTTTTACCTTGACTTTATCCTTTAGTGGTTTGCCCTCATCTGGATCAGGCTGCCTGTGTCCTAGACGGTCAGCAAGTTCATCAAGGGCGTCGTCAATTTCTTTGTCATTCTGTTAAAAAGTGAATCTGAATTAGTCACTGGTGGGCCAAATCAGGTCACCTGCTAGAGTGTGGCCCCCAACACTGCCACTAAGACTTCCACAGGAAGGCACTGTCCTGCCAGCCCTGGTACAGGGTCTTTTCTCTCTGTCCACCAGCTCTCAGTGACCTCTCTGCACCTCTCTACACCTGTCCCATCCCTAGGTGTCTTTCACCTTGTAAGAAAACAGGTATCTCCTAAAAAGATGGGGTTCCCTGCCTGATTGTCTCAAAATACTGGTGACAGTCTAGTGTTCCCAGCAATGAAAACTCACATGAATTATTACAGTTTAGTTTACTCTTTGATTCCCAAGTACATTCATTTAAATAAAGATTATTCCTAGTTTTAGTGATGGCTCCAAATAAAATATTAACTTAAACTAGACTCTCTGATGGGAAAACCAGTAAAGGTATCATTCTAAAACATATTTGTAAAATCTAAAAAAAAAAATACTTGAAAAAGGCAGATATGTGCAAAAAAATGACACCAAACTACCTTCTTATACTAGAGGCTTAAATGTAAGCCTCAAAACCATAAAACTCATAGAAGAAAACATAGGCAGTAGAATCTCTGACATTTCCTTTAGCAATATTTTTTCTGATATATCTCCTTAGGCAAGAGAAACTATATCAAACTAAAAAGTTTTTGCACAGCAAAGGAAACCATCAACAAAATGAAAAGACAACCCACTGAATGGGAGAACGAATTTCACCAATGATAAGGGGTTAATATTAAAAATTTATAAAGAACCCATACAAGTCAACACCAAAAAACAAACAAACAATGCAATTTAAAAATGGACACTTCTTCAAAAAAGACATACAGATGGCCAATAGGCATATGAAAAGATGCTCAATGTCACTAATCTTCAGAGAAATGCAAATTAAAACCACAGTGAGATGTAAGGAACCCCTTCATGTGGTGTGGAAATGTAGCTCAGCCCTCACGTGGAAAACCAGTGGGGTGCATGTGGCACACCGGACCACTCCCACGGAGAGGTTTTCCCGGGGGGAATCAGGCTTGCATTGTACCTACACTGCTATGAGACTTCCTTTTGCTAAAACTCCCTCACCCTGAATTGAGGCAGCAAGGGCTTACTGCAACTTCCTAAAGTCTGAGCTAAACCTCCCAAGTATGGAGTGTGACCAGTTCAACCACTTTTCCCCTTGGTCTGCAACAAACTTCTCTTTGAAGTAATTAGCAACATTCTTTCCTTTGTTATCTGTAAAAGGTAATTCCCTGCAGTGAACCTGTGCATAGTAAATGAGGACATTCCTCCATGTAATGTACCCAGAGAAGCAATAAAAGCTTGTCCAGGCAGGAACTGGCTCTCTGGCCCTCTCACCCTCTCTCTCAGAGTGGCCATGCCGTCCCTTTTTCTCCACAGGACTTCTGTTGTCTGTGTGTATTTGTTCATGAGCAGCCACAACATATATGGATCCTGCCGGCCAGGATCTGCCACAGTGAAATATCACCTCACACCTGTCATAATGGCCATCATCAATAAATCAACAAACAAGTGCTGGTGAGGATGTGGGGGAGAGTGAACACTTGTGCAATGCTGGTGGAAATGTAGATTGGTGCAGCCACTATTGAAAACAGCATGGAGGTTCCTCAAAAAAATTAAAAATGGAACTGCCTCACCACCCAGTGATTCCACTTTTGAGTATATATTTAAAGAAATCCAAAACATTAATTCAAAAGGATATAAGCACCCATATATTCATTACAGCATTATGAACAATAGCCAAGACATGGAAGCAACCCAAGTGCCCAGTAAAAGAATGAAATCTTACCATTTACAACAGTATGGATGGACCTAAAGGATATATGCTACATGAAATGAGTCAGTCAGAGAAAGACAAATAACCACACTATTTTACTTATATGTGGAATCTAAAGACCAAAATAAATGAACAAACTTGAAACAGACTCATAGATGCCCAGAGCAGACTGATGGTTGCCAGAGGGAAGGAGCATTGGGGAACTAGGCGAAAAAGGTGAAGGGATTTAGATGTACAAATTGGTAGTTACAAAATAGTCACAGGAATGTAAAGCACAGCATAGGGAGTATAGTCAATAATATGGTAATAACTATGTATGGTGCCAGGTGGGTACTGGAAATATGGCAGAGGGGACACTCTGTAAGGATATGATTGCCTAACCACTATGCTATGCACCTGAAACTAATACAAAACAACATTAAATATAAACTGCAATTTAAAAATAAAAATAAAAAATAATTGAAAGAGAAAAAAATAAAGTCAGGAAATTTTGCTAAGAAGGAAAAAAAAAGCCTTTTGATTGCAGATGGCTACTAACAGCCTCAATCCAGACATAATGTCTCACCTGAGTATTAAGAACTGAGGTGTCAACGGCAGCCTGGGTTATTAACGATTCTTCCTTTCTGTTGCACAGGGACTTTCATCACTGCGGTTGTCACACACACACAGGATTTTACTAGTTTTAAGTGCTTCATGAGAGCTCAGGATTATAGCTAATGGTGGAGCTGCCCAAAGCCGGGTCTGGGCTTTGTCATTTGTGCCTCTGGATATTTTCAGATTCCCCTGAGGCTGACCCAACAGGACGAAAATTCATTCAGAATCTCTGACTACAGCACTAAGTAAGCTTTGATGCCACATCAAAAGCAAAGGAAGCATAGCTGACTTCACTAAAGCTACTTCATCTCCATCTAGCAAACCAGGCACTTCTCCACCGTAGGAGTTGGGGGTCTGGTTTAGGGCAATCTCTATCTTTTGATGTTCCATGGTCTCCTCGATAATTTCACATTTGGTGCTGCATAGAAAATTAATCAAGGAAGTCTGGCAAAACTTTGATCCTATAGTCTTGCCTCAGAACATGTGAATAATTAAAACAATATTGATGCTGAGGTTTTTCTATTACTAGCATGAAAATGACAAATTTTTACTATGCTATTCCATGACATATTTGTTAGTTTGGGGGGGGGGGGAAGAAGCTCAAACACCAAACAATTCCATAAAATAATCTTGAGGTTAAATAATGGATAGTATTTATAGCATGTATTAAGAAAAATATGAAGAAGGAGAAAATAAAATATCAGGAAAGCTAAAATTTAAAAAAATTTTAAAAATCTAATAATTCAGATACACAATGTACATTGCACTTTCAATTCTAATGAAGCAAAAATTTAAGCTTTGTGACTGTGTAAATATTTTCACATACATTATTCCATTTAATCATTTGGATATTCTGCCATCTTCCTAAATTCCTAGTCTTACTTCTTCTGAAGGTGCCCAGTGTTCCTAACAATTTTTGTCTGTTTCCATTTACGCTAAAGCAGGAATCTTGTTTTCTTTCTTCTTGTTGTTGTTGCTGTGAAAATAAACATTTACAAAATATGTTGCTTACCGAAGTGTCAGGGGGTGGGCCTGCAGATTGGGTGGCTGGAGCTGGGGTTTGGGAAACCAGTTCAGAGACGGCAGCTGAAAGTTTACCATGTTCAAATGGCTTTTGTTTAAAATAAAAAGGAGAGATTTTGCTTGTTAATATGTTATATACAAAGTTATGTCTACAATGCCATCATTTAAATACAGTTCTTAACATAGCTGTATGATTATTAATTCTCTTGACCCAAATGGACACTTAGTAACACAGAATCTTAAGAGCAATTTCTATTCTATTTCTTACTCCATGTTATTATTTTCCAACAATTTCCTATTCCTATTTATTATTCTAAATGCTGTTCAACAATCTAATGACAGAGTTCATGGTTTGTTATACATCTTTTGTTGTACATTTAGGTTGTTTGCAGTTTTTTAGCTTCTTCCTTGTAATTAGTTGCCTGCAATCAAAGTTCCAGAGGTGGTTCTTTTGAAGGTGTTAGCTATATTCCACCAAACTACCCTCTCAGGAGTTGCTAGGGTTCATCCTGCTAAAAGCAATGAATGAGCAGGTTGTTTCTCATGGCCTTGCTCACTCAAATCAGGTACTTATCACATATTTTTAAATTCTGGTAACATATTAGATATAATAATGTACTACTGTTATTTGCTATATGGTCTAAGTTTTGTTTTATTATTTTTCCTTAATGTTAAATAGCCTATTTCTCCAGAATGTTTCTGAAATGATTTTTCCATTCATTTTAAAAATATACCAAATCTGTCACTTACATTCATTTCTTGATTTCTTTTTCCATTGACCTGTAATTTTGCTTTCTGAATCAGAACTGTATTTTTTTACCATTATTGTATAAAAAAGCCCAATGTTTAGTTAATCTTCCCTAAAGAGTGAAAGATAATTTTTATTATTTTTTTCATATTTTTATGCATTCATATATGCATTATTTCAGAATAATTGAGTCATATCAAATAACTTGCTGCTATTTTAATAAAAATATTAACTTATAAAATGACTGAAAATAATTGTCACCATTCTTAAGACATTTAGTCAAACTGTCTTAGATGAATGGGTTTTAATTTCTTCATGGTCTTGTTTTTCTGAACATTTCTCCTATTGCTGTTTTCTTTACATAAGTCTGACATCTCATTAGATAATTATATTTTGAAATCTGTTACTAATATACACAGCACACATAATATCCACAAATGTGAGAGCAAAAACTTTGGGCAACTCCAAGGAATCATTTTTTTTCTACTTGTCACCTATTCTGTTCCTCAACTGACATGCATTTTCCAGGCCATTGTCCACATAGGATTAAACAACCCAGGCCCCACTAAGAAAGGTTCTGCAGAACCTGAGTTTGGGAGCTCCCACAGACTTACACTGTTTGCATATAGAAAGTCCTAAAACTCCTACAGTTAAGAAACCTGCTTGTTGTTTCCCAACATTTCCCAAGCTTTCTAGTAACAGAATTCCCTTTGAGGGGCTATCAATTCCACAGGAAGCTAGGTTTCCCTAGAGATAATTTGGAAAATGATCAAATTGCAGAATATCAACTGGTAAAGATATCTAGGAAGTACTTTTAGACAAAACAAATTTTAAATTCTCTTTTCATAGGTGGACTTGATGGAATATGTACTTCCTGGTTTAATCAGTTACACTGTTGAAAATATTCACTGTGCTGGAACAATACTTCATGACACAGCACATTTTTAATGGCTACCGTGGGTTGAGGGCCATGAATTTTATGATTGTTTCCTCAGCTACCCAGTCAGTTTCTAAGTCATAAATTTCCATTTATTTCTCTAAAAGTGAGGAAATAAAACCAGGAGTTTCAGACTTACAAGTGGTGCAGTGTTTGGAGGTCCAGTGAAGTCCTCAGACAAGGCATCGAGAAGGAAGGCTTCATCCAAGGGCTGCAAGAACCAGAAAATGAATCAAACACCACCTCATTTGCCTCCTCTTCAAAATGATGTCACTGTTCATTCGCTGATCAACTCATTAAAAAGAAAGCTATGTCCTTCCTGAATTACAGTTAGGGCAAATGAGAAAGATATACTCAGAGAAAACAGTCTTGCTTACTGGAAGTGATTCCTTGGACTCTTTTGGCAGGAGTGGTTTTCCATCTTTGTCCTATCCAGGAGGAGAAAAATACAGCATTGGGTCATTTCACATTTATCCTAAGCATGAACCCTTGTAAATATTAGCAGGTTATACATGATGTTGATGTACATTGTCAATTAGACTCATCATTTCAAAAAACAGATTCTCTCCCCAGAGAATAGGCCCTAATTAGTTCATGTTAACAAACAGCTCAGATATGACAGGCATTCCCTAGGCACAAGGTCTCCCAAACAGATTGGGCATGGCTTATGACCTCAGAAGCCCACTTACTAGTGCCAGACACAAACATGTGAACAGCTCATGTAGTGTGGCATGTGGGGCTATGTGGCAGGGGGCACTGGCCGGACACTGTGGGAGCACAGGGTGAGCCTGGGGGGTGGCGGCTTTGCAGAAGTTGCTTGGAAAAAGCTGTTAACTTTATGGTGTATGTATATAATATATAACTTTATAGGTAACATGTCCAATTAATATGCACTGATTCTGTGCCCGGCCCCTCAGTAAACACTAGGAATACCACAGGAACTGGGATAGACAAAGTCCCTGCCCTCAGGGAGCTCATCCTGTGGGCAGGATGCTCTGAAACTTATGGCTGAGATGATGCCAAGCTTCTAATGCCTCTAAGTGCCACTTCTGAGCAACAGGGCAAAATCAATGAAGTTGTTGTGACTCTGTAGTAAAAAATTTATAAATAAATGGCAAATCTCATTTATCCACATATATAAAAATAAATAAGTGCAAACCCATATATATATTTACATATATATAGAATATATGGTAATATAGTGTATATATACTATATAGTATATAAAAATATAACTGTACTATATAAATATAAAATATATATATTTATTTATCCTGATGAACTGGTCAAGGTGACTTTGGTTTATTAAAATGTGAAGATGTGAAATAGTTTAGAGCAGCGATTTTCATTTTCAACCAACGTGCAACAAGAATTTTTAAACCACGCAATACCTTACTATTAGTCTGGGGCACTGACCTCTTTTCCCTTAGATCATCAGATTTTAAAAATGACAACAGCCAACATAACAGTAGCCATTTGAACCATAAAATATAGATATCCCTTTTAGCAACAAAGGCAGCAAATTTCCCAAGTGATACACGGGACCATCAGGGACATACCTGCTCCACGCTCAAACTGAAGTCACCCTGTGTCTGGAAGGGGGACCTTGTGGGCCACCCCCAGTGAGCTCAATCTCACTGAAGAGGCCTGATGTGAGCATAGCTGATAAATAACAGTATAGGATTTTTTAAAAATCGATCAAGCCAACCCCCATGAAAATGTTAAATAAATAATGTGTGAGGTCAACAAGTTCAGAAGTGGATGAAACTACCACAGAATAAAGTGGTCAGGGAGAGCCAATCAACTGCTTCCATAAAAACTGCTGAAATTCAGCAAAGGGAGAGAGGAAGCAACCAATTCCTACTAGGAACAGCATTACCTGCCTTTATGAAATGGGGCGGGGGTGAGTAGGGACAGCACGTGTAGCCCATAAGAAGCTCTCTGAAAGCCTTGCAACAGCATACACATGAGCCTGAATTAATAGAAATGCTATGTTTTCAACTGAACTGTGATATGCAGAAGCAAACAGAATAGTAAACTTTTCATCTGGGAGTGCTCAACAGATTTCCCATCCTTACCAGACAAACAGACTAGTGTGCATGGGTGAGTAAGAGGAGCATCAGTTCGATTTTCCCGAACTGTTAGTAAACTTGAGTTGAATATCCTCTTCAACGATGGTGCATTGTGAAGATGGCTGACACCTGTTCCATCGTCCACACCTCTGCCCCTGATCAAGTGGCTACCCTTAAACCAGAAGATTCATAACAGGGTCTCCCCTGTGTCACTTGTTTTGAACAATCTGTACATTCAAAATTTGAATATGGTACTCTTAGTTTTTCTTCATATGTAAATGTTGCACATTTTTCCTCATAGGAAAAAATTGTCCTTCATTTTCCTTTGCCTGTCTCTAAAAAGGTTTTCTACATTTTCTTATTTCTGGTATTGCAATAGACAGGAAAAGTTAGGTAGCTTAGACATTAGGTTTCTTTCACTACAGGGAGGAGTCAAAGGTCAGTTAGGAATATTTTAGCTTCATGTCCGGTGCGCTAACTGGACAGTAGTGGACTAGCACTATTTGGTGTTTGAAACATTAAGAAAGAAGATATATTCCAGGTTTGCACCCATGTCCCTTCTTTATCTATGCAGAATTCAGTATGAATTAAAATCAAGTAGAAAAATACCCCAGCCTATTTACCTTGACCTCTTCTAATCTATAGTCAGGAGGGATTGTTTCTTCTTTTTCACCAAGCTTTTCACGATCCTCTTCTTTGGCCTTCTCCTAAACACAAGTTATACCATTTTCAGTGTTAATACATCTTTTCTCCATAGAGTGTATGCCTGAACGACTGAAGTTGAGGTAAATGTATCTGTCATTAGGTTAGAACATATATGTGACCATAGGCATTGAAAACCTACAGCCCCTTACCCTTCAGTACTGTATCCTAGTTTGGCAGGCTCAGACCCCACCACTAAGCCTGCAGGGGCTAAAAGAAGTCCCAAGGAGCAGTAGACAGCTGCCACTTCTCCCCCGAGTCCTTCACAGCAGGGATGCAGGTGCACAAGGTGAGCCTCAGAACTCGGCTACATGCACGCCGTCCATCCACTGCTACGCTCAAACACAGATGGATCCTCGCTCGCTCAGGCTGAGCTTAGTAAGCAGGTGCACACAGTAACAGAGAAAGCCAGCTGGTTGTGTGTTGTGGGAGATATTTTTTAAAAATACCACTAACTTATTTGGGGACTGAGAACAATCAATGATAGTTACTTTCTAGAAGTATCTGAGCTGCCATTACCTTGACTTTGTCCTCCACAGGCTTTCCCTCTTCTGGATCTGCTTCCCGTTTCCCCAGGCTACCAGCCAAGGCTTCCACAGCATCGTCCGGCACCATGCCCTGCTCAGAGCACACCAGGGATATACTAAGTAGGCGGTTAATACCTCCTTCCACACTTTTTAAAAATTTACTGATTTGGGGGGGAGGGTGGGGAGAGAGACACACTGATTTGTTGTTTCACTTATTTATGCATTTGTTGGTTGATTCTTTCTTATATGTGCTCTGACTGGGGTCCAAACCACAACCTCCATGTATTGGGACAACATTCTAACCCACTGAGCTACCTGGCCAGGGCCAATGCCTCCTTTTAAAGAGAATACCTCAAACAATTTAGAAGAGCATATCTTTATATCAGGCCTAGATAAGAAGCACATGTTACCTTTTAATCATTTAAATTATCGACTGAATTACAATCTATGTTTAAAAAACATAAAATGTTTAAAATTAGAGCAAGTTTTTTTATATTAAGCATTAAGTGCGTGTAACTGATATACTGACTGAGAAACCAGATCTAACCACCGCTTCGGCTTGGACACGAGGGAGACAATGGAAAGGGTGTGCCACCAAGAATGTGACAGCCAGGAAAGCAGAAAGAAGCAATTTTCTGGTGACTGTTCCTCAGGGGGCACAGGGAAGATTTCCAGAAAAGCCCAGGAGAGGACATTCTTCTCCACCTTCTGTGAAACGGCCTGGCACCCTGGAGGAGGTGGCCCCTGCTGTGCCTCTGCTAGCCTGTGTCCTTCAGCTGCTTCTCCTGGTCGAATTGGATTCACACTAATGTGGTGAACTAACCTGTGTGCACAAGGACAGCCTGTGGCCCAGCTGTTCAAAATGAAAGGTGCTCCCCTCCCGATGCAGTGAGCTCTGGCCACGCAGGTATTTAAAAAGAAACTGGATGCACACAGAGCACAAATGGTACAAAGGGAAAACAAAGGAGAAACTATCTTTGGGGCTAAAAGGAATAGACCTGGGTCCTTCCAAACCACAGGTCATGATCCACATATTAGTGGCTCATAAAATCAATTTCCAGTTCATGGCCAGGACTTTTTTTTTCTACTGGAAGACTAGGCTAGAAAACAACACATCTTACATAACAAAGACAAGTACCATTAACTAAACTTGTTTCTATTGTGTGGGGACTAGGTTGTGATATCAATGCAATTCCTACTGTTGGTCAAAAATGGGAAAGTCCCTAAACAGTCTCAAGGTTTATTCTTACCATAAAAGTCATAATGAGTATATATTGGGATTGTAGAGTGAAAGTCTCTTTCTCTTTTATAGCTTGGCCATCATTCCAAATAAGAAAAGTTGTTTTTCTGCTAAGCTGCACCACAAAAGGAAATAATCACCACAGAGGAAAGGGAGCCTGAGAGGAAAGTGATTTATCACCATCTAGTGGTTGGACGCTGCATAGGTTTTATTCCAAGAACAACAAAAATCACTGATATATCTAATTTGTTTGGGATTATATCTAAATTGCAAGACTTGCAGTGGCCTCCAAATCTTGGCCAAGCAATGAGTTGCTGCTTGATCCCAGACACCTGCTCATACTCCTCTTCTGTTTCCTCCTGCTCTCTGCTGCAGAATCTTTGGAAACCACTGCTTCCCATGCCTGTGCCGTTCAGCTTAAGAAATAAGTGATTTTCAGCCTCAAAAAAAAGATGAAATACTTCCATTTGCAACAACATGGATGGGTATCATGCAAAGTGAAATAAGTCATACAGAAAAAGTCAAGAACTACAAGATTCAACTACAAGATTCACTCATATGTGGGATATTAAACTGAAAGCAACAAACGAACAAACCAGAAAAACAGACAATTGGACAATGGTTTGGTGGTTGCCAGAGGGAAGGGGTAGGGATTAGCAAAGGGTGAAGGGGTCAAATATATAGTGTCGGAAGGAGATCTGCCTTTGGGTGGTGAACACACAAAGCAATATGCAGATGATGTATCATAGAATTCTATACTTTTATTAAAACCTATATAATTTTATTAACCAATGTCACTCCAATAAATTTAATGTAAAATAAGTAAGTGAAATAGTTAGAAAAGCTCAGGGAAGCAGCAGCCATCTTAAGAACTAAGTAATCTGGAAATAGGACCAAGGACTAAAACTTCTATTTCTATAGTATTTCACATGGTCAGATTCAGAGCTAGAACTCAGATCTCTGAATGTTCTGAATAAACTTTCTTTTTATACAAACAATAACCCCACAGGACATGCATTTACTTCCTGCCTCTGTTCTTTGTACCTTTTACTCACTAATCCTCGAGCTTTATTGAGTCCTCTGACCTTTACCACACTCTGCAGCTATCCTCTCTGGTTTCCAAGGGTGTCACAACCCCAGAAATGCCAACTAACCTCAGTGACTGTAATCTTGGCAACCGCAGTAACCAGAGCTGGTGGCACAGAGGCCCAGGAAAGGAGGTCAGACAATGAAAGACAAGAGCTCTGTTTTTTTCCTGTCTGCTAAATATCCAATGCTTGACTCCACAGTCGGGGTAAAACAGGCAAGGAACCACCTGAGCCCTCTGAGGCCCTGGCCATCACACTTGGCGTGAGAAGGTAGACGACACATGCTTAGGTCACAAGGGTTCTGCCCTGGACTGTTGGCCATTACCTTTTTCATTTTAATCTTTGTCTCTGTTCCTACACCAGTCTCTTCGCCGGTTCTCTCATCTTCCCTGGTCTTTCCCCCAGGACCTGGCTCCCACAACGTAAAGGTTTCTAGAGAGTACCCTGAAACCTCAAAGAAAGGGGGTCAAGTCCTATGTAAGGCAGGAGGGAGACCCTGCACTTTGAGGGGATCTGCAGTTGGCATCAAGGACTTCCTTGGCAGGAAGCAGCCACTTCAGGGCACCCCGGATACTTGTCCTACACCTCCTTCAAGGCACTCTTCTCAAACCACTAAAAGCACTTATCCCAAGGAAACCAATGACTCACGCCTCTGTGCTTAGCCCCTCCTCAGCTCACTGGTCTCTCCGTCAAAACAGCCCTACTCCCACCTCTCAGTGTGATCCTGCCCATTACCCAAAGCCTTTCCTAATTCTCCCTGGAGAATGAAGCACCCACAGTTCCTCTGCCCTTTCTCCATATGAGTGCTCACAGTGTGCTATTAAACTTGAGATCTGACCCATATCCACACTAAACTTGAAGGCAGCTGAGGGCAGGAGCCATATTTTCATTTCAGCTGAGGCTCTGACAGGTTAAGTGAATTTTTCAAGGTCAGTTTAGAGGTTAAGTTCCCTCATGTATAATAGAGAGATGATTAAATTTTACTGTGTCCCTGTGAAAATTTAATTAGAAGACATTGTAAAGCATCTAGAACAAGATAGCTATTCAGAATACACAACCACCAAGTATGAATTAATGAATATATTCCACTGATGTAATTCTCTAAGTCAGATTCTATTGGCTAACACCTTCAAAAAGAAGCAAAGATTCAACTAGTTAAATATCATACTTCATTCAAAAGACAGAAAATGAGAAAGAGGCAAAAAATGAAGAAAGGAAGGAATTGAGTCAATCCATCCTCCCTTCAGGTGAGAGTGGGGTGGGTCATGATGACATTGGTGCAGATTTTTCCACCAGAGAGTCAGGCTGTTTGTGGAATTCCAAATAGGCTTGAAAATGTAGGAATGCAGAAAAGCATGATTACTTGCAATAGCTGAGGAGCTAGAAAGAATTTCAGAAGGTGAAAGAGAAACAGAAATCATAGTAATTTAGGTAATTAAAACTTTAAATATAGCCCTGCCAGTGTGGCTTAGTTGGCTGGAGTATCATCCTGTAAACCGAAAGGCCGTGATTCAATTCCCAGTCAGGACACAGGCCTAGGTTGTGGGTTTAGTCCCTGATCGGGGCACCTGCAAGAGGCAACTGATCAATATTTCTCTCTCACATTGATGTTTCTCACACTCTCTCCCTCCCTCCCTCCCTTCCCCTCTCTCTAAAATCACTAAGCATGTCCTCGGGTGAGGATGAAAAAAAATCAAATATAGCCTGAGTTTCTAGCACACCCTGAAGCCCCAAACAGTAGATGCTACAGTTAATGATTTTACTGTTTTGCCAGAATAAAATGACATGTTAGTGCACAGGGCAGAAGATGCTGGGGAGGAAGAACGTCACCTTTCTGGGACGTTCCTCAACGCACTCACCGAAGGCACCGGCTTGGGAGGTGCTGCCTGTATGCTACACATGGAGGCCCGAGGCACCGCGTCTGCCTCGGGAGCCGGGGCGGCCGCCCGAGAGTCCTGTGGAAAGAAGCAAGTACGATGAGGAATTTTCCGAAATATCTGGTTAGTAATACTGAACAATGAAGAATGAACAACACACTGCTGCATTGTATGCTGTGAGCCTGATTTTCTCGGATGCCTAAGATTGCTGAATAGTAAATAAGTCCGGGCAGGCTAAAACCCTTTGGTCACCATTATTCCAACTTCATTCTACCTCTTACCTTAGGCAGGTTACTTAACCTGAGACTCAGTTTCCACATCTGAAAAATGAGGACAATAGTCGTACCTACATCTCAAGGGTGGTATGGGGATCTAATGGGCTAACAAGTGACGTGTTTTGCATGGTTCCTGGAAACAGCAAACTCAATACATTTTAGAAATTATTATTGTTTTTGTTTATTATTATTAATCATCATATAATAATATATTAATTATATAATGCAATGTAATATTTTCTATAAAGACATCACTTTTATATATTGAAAAGCACCATGTACACTGTAAATATAAAGCTATGTACAAATGCATAGCAGTAACCCTATCCCAGGAGGTCTCACAGTGTGGTCCCTCAGTCAGGAGCCTCCACAATACCAGACAACTTATCAGAAATGCACATTCTTAGGCCTCCGTACCAACACACTAAATCTGAAATTCTGGGGGTAGGGCCCAGCAATCTGTTTTAACAAACCCTCAGTGATCCTAGTGAATGCCACTGTACTGATCCTAGTGAGAACCACTGTACTATCTTATTTTATCACAAGGTGAAATTTCAAATAAGCAGTTTAAATCCTGGCATTTATGGAAGTCTATTATGCAATGTGTTTTGCAGATGATCATTAATAGGATATAATTTCTTCTTTCAAAGAACTTACTATTTAAAACTATGTATAAATATAAGATGTAAAGAAGGACTGAGAGCTTACAACTTGTTTGCAACAAATGCCTTAACAGGGGCATATGAAGAAAGAACTACAGAACCAGCCCCCCCCCCCCCCGGACATGTTATATTCTGCTTCATAAGACTTGCAAGGCTGGTCAGGTTTGAGGAGACAAAGGCCATATTTAGCACAGCCTTAAAGGGATGACTAAGAGTTCAGTTGACCTAAAATTAGGAGGCGAGGTTATTTCAGACGGGAGGAACCATTATGAGAAAAGCCATGGAGACACACACTTAATGTCATAGTTTAGTGACGTGGGGACGCACCTTGGCAGAAAAGGAAGCGTGGACCAGAACACATTAGTAGAAACTTTACTTTTGTGAGAAATGGGAAGCTCCTAAGGACTGGAACAGGGGAAGGATGTGACTATAAGCCTGCTGGAGAGAGAATAATTCTGGTGGACACATGGGATGGACCGAAGGAGGCTGAAGACAGAGGCCATTGCCACCTGGAGGTGAGTGATGACAACTTGAAGGACAACTCTGTCAGTTACAGAGGCAGGAACAGAAGGGAAAGCATGGGTGTGGATGCTTTCCTGACAGAGTAATTACAGGACTTAATCGCAAGAAAGTCGGGTCAGCTTGGGGAAAGAAAGCATATTCAGAAGGCAGCAAAACAAACACTGCGTGTAGAAAAAGGTGGCAAAATGGGCCTTTTTGTCAATCACTTCATGCTGAAATACTGTGGGTCTCACATGTTTAAGATTACAGAAAAACATTAAAAAACAAGCAAAACCAGACTGAATTTTAGAAACATACTTCTGTTTTTTCAGTTGGCTTGGATTGTTTTTCTTTACATTTGGCCTGGTCAAAATCTTCTGACAGCTCATCAATGAGTTCGGATTCACTCAAGGGCTGAAATATAAGAGACATTGTGTATTATTAAGTGACTATTTTTTACTTTGTTAAATAAGTTTTCATAAAGGAGTTTTTCTAGTTAACACATATTTGGCCACAGAGGGTGAGGCAAAAGTAGTATGTGAATATGCAAAACACAAAGTTTATTCTTGTTTATGATTTATTAATCATTGAATTGTTTTCCATACAAACCACTGCAAGCCTACTTTTGCCCATCCCTACACTTTAGGATCTAAAAAAGCTAATTAATACAGGACATTTCATTTATCAGTGTAAGATATAAATGTTGTGCAACAAATAAGGAATATTAAACACCTCAGTACCACAAAAATGTTAATGGCTTAAAGTTTTCCTGACACTTCAATTACAAAGTAGTTTTATTCAAATAAAATTGCCTGTTCTTTCCAAAGAAGATGTGTATAGTTTTTTTTCTTTTGTGATCACTTTTCTACTTCCTAATGGCTTCCCTTCTGAATAAGTCAGTGGAAGAACAGATCATGTCCCCCTCTCCTATGACTATGTAGGGTTTGGGCAGGAAATCTGTTATCCCTACTACCTTCAGGTGAGGTCGAGTACTTGTTTAGGGCAGTGGAGATTTTGACTGATAACAGTAATCCATGACAGAATCACACAGGTCTCTCGAGCTGGGCCCCAGTGTCAAGCGGCCCAAGTTTGGAGTCTTCACCTTGCTATTTCCTAGCTGTGTGACCTTAAGCTATTTATATAATCTTTCTGTATTTCAGTTTCCTCACCTGTAAAATGGCAATAATAATGGCACCTTCCTCCTTCAGTGGGGACTCAAAAAGTTAGCATATGAAAGGCATCTAGTGCAGCGTCAGGTGCATGGTAAATGACTGATAAATGTTGCTCAGTATTATCGTGGTAGATAGCCACCCTGGCTGACACCAGTGTGAACGATGGCAGTGTAGAGTCATTAGAGTATTTGCTGCTGTATTTAGAATCAAGCTCTAAGTGTTAACAATCTAATTTAAGGGCCCACTTGACATTAGTTCCTAATGTTCGGCGAATGTCACCTAGAAATTTATAACAGTCCGGTGTTAATCCATGGGGAAAATAATTAAAGTGTGTGAAAAGGAGTCACAGCTCTGAGCCCTGTGTTGCTATCAGAAGTTCCCTCTCCTTAATACTAGGGTGCTGTGTCAAGTCTCCATGGTGAAATCCTGTCTGTGAAAATTATCTGTACTCCACAGTCCTATTGTTTTGAAGTATCCAGAAAAAAATTCATCTCCCAACCTTCGGTTTTTCTTCAGGCTCTGGCAGTAGTGGTTTTCCATCTTTATCCTGTAAATGAAATGAAAATGAAATAGAAAAGTTTGCTTTCATGTCTTACTAAGTTTGTCTTGGGGAATTTCAGGATATGAGAGGAGAGCATTTTTTTCCTTATATTTAAGTGAATTTTCATTTCAGATTTATCTTTTATACAGTATCAGAATAAAGATTTGAGATGTAAAAATCAAAAGACCAAATATCAACTATAATGCATTTACTTTTCTTTAAAAGTTGCTTAAAAATTTCATCTATTTGATAGAAAAATAGAATTTTAAATATCTTTAACAAGAAATGTGCATCTACATTAATGAAAGTTTTTTTAAAGCCCCAATTCTCCAACCCAGTTAAAGAGCTAGATATTATTCCCAAAATACTGTTTTATTTATTTTTTTTGGATATGAGGTTTTACAACTTAGAATATTTACAACTACAAATATTTCATAGATCTTTCCATCTATGAACTTATGAGAATCACACTATACTCTGTCATAAGTTTATGTGTATTAGATCAGAGATAAATTACAGATGTAATTATAGGAGTTAGTCCACCATCCTCACCTCACCTCAAACCAAACCCAACAAAACTTCAACTCAGGATACTGACAAACAGCTGTACGTTCATATCTACCACTTAGAGTTATGGTGCTTTTATCCACACAGCAGGCAGAGAAAAAAATTATTCCCAAATTGTTCCTTCTACTGTAAGGTTAAGAGTCTATGTCAAGCATTGCTTATAGTAGAAACACTTGAATTTGTGGGAATTTTAATAAAGATATGATCATGGCTTAGGAAACCACTTTTTAAAGGGTTCAACTGTAGAGAGCAGAACAGAAAGCGTTCAGGGTTTTCAGAGTGAGTATGTGAACCAGGACAGACACGTCCTTAAGCATAATGGGAACAGACGCCCAAAGCATGAAGGAAGGCCAGAAGTGTGCGCTGCTGTTACACACCAAGGCTAACAACATACCGTGGCAGGTTTTAATCTGTACTCTGATGGGATTGTTTCGTCATCTTCACCACACTTCTTTAGTTTCTCTTCTTTGGCTTTTGCCTGATGGAAGTGGAGAGAAGAAAAAAAAAAACATTTGGATAATACATGTAAAATAAGATGGTATCACTTTATGTATCACATGGGTGTTGTAGAGAAGATCAAATCAGATAAAAGTGTCTGTATGTGCTTGTCAACTTGTGCAAGGCAGAAGCCACAGTAAGTGGCTTTGAGGAAGGCAGCAAGGGGGGTGACTGAGGAAAACGGCACAGCCAGGCCCCCTGGGGAGGTGCTGTATAACCTGGGGGAGCCATTTAGTTTTCCTTTTGCTCAGTTTCTTCAGCTCTAAACAGGGCTATAGTAATCCTTACCTAGCTACTGACTTGTAAGGATCACCAGAGGAAAGTAAATAAAATATCCTCAGAGGTGGTTAAGCACAGTGCAGAAGTTAGCTGCGACTACTTTACCAGCCTTCACCTTTCTTACTCAATGAGGTAGTTATCTCCAGGGGACAAAACTCTGTGTCTTGAATGGTGACCACAGCCAGAAATGGGAGAGCAGCCCATCGCAAGTCTTGGCTGACCCATGGAAAACTGGCTTTACCTCTTCTACTAGTACAGGACTCCCTCCAATAACACCAGGACTTCACTGGATTAATGAACCTTGAACAGCCAACTCCATTAAAACTAAAGGTGCACAGTAGTTCTATATTAGATCCCTTGCTTCTAAGATATAACATTTGCATTTTAAACAATTGCTAAGTAATGCGAATCTCCATGATCGGTAACAATTTGTACCTATGTCAAGGTATAGATTTAAATTCCAAACCAAGGAGGTCCGGGGCACAAAGGGCGGGCTGGTGTCACTTAGCAAATTCCAGCTCAACCCACTGCTCCACCTACATCTCAGTCTAAGACTGTAGTTCTCCATTGAATGCTTAGTTACCGGATTAATTTAAAAATATTTATTAAGCACTTTAATGAACCAGGCACTCTTCTAGGCTTCGGAATTACAGTTTTATTGTTCTATAGAATAACCCCTCTCAATAAGGGATAAAAGCTCCCCCCCCAACATTTCCAGTTATAATCTACTGCAAATATGGAGAGACCCCATTATGCATTGGAACTCCTTAGTTCATGGACTTGTGAGGTCTCTGCCTATAAACCAGCCTGCATGAAAGTCAAGGTCACCTGTTTGGTAAGACTGTCCTCTCCATTCCATTCAGTCCTGCTCGCAACAAAGATTAAATGCACAGCTAGATCCTTTCTATTCCTTTTTGATCCGTGTATACTTTAAATCAGGGGTTCCCAATCCCCAGGCCGAGAACTGGTACCAGTCCGTGGCCAGTTAGGAACTGGACCATGAGTGAAGCTCGCCTGAGCGTGGCCTCCGGCCCCTCCACCACCATCCACAGCAAAAGGTGAGTGATGGGCAAGCAAGCTGGCCTCCCCCCACCCCATCCAACCTGTAGGCACTGGAAGGAAATATCTAGGAAATACCTACTGAATTGAAACAGACTAGATAACCACACATAGAAATGGGGAAGATTACTAATGAGGTATCAGTATAAATATTATTTTATGTTATGGTATCTCACAAAAGTGACAAGTAGGCATGGACCCCTTTTCTGAAGCATTACATAGTTTTTCCTCAGAGCGCTCTCTAGCATGGAAGGTACTGGAGTGATTGTGAACGCCTATAGAAGATGCCCTTCATGAGCCTAATCATAGCATCAGACCATCCAGGAAGTAATGAATTCACCATCACGTAGTAAAAATTCAACACAATAACTTATTTAATATTTTCTACATCTGATTTTAGTTACTCTAAGCCTCTTTTTGTCCTGGGATGTATGTTTATAGCTTCCCTCCCCAAATTACTGTCCTATGAAACCACCTAATTATCTGTAAAAAGCCTGAGGCGAAAGTACAGTTGACTCACTGCCCCTGCCCTGTAACCACAGCTCCACTTGCCCCCGGGTTCCCCCAGGACCCCACCTTCCTTTAGACGGGCTTCTATCTGAGTGCTCTATGTAAGTGCATCTCACGTTGTGTTTTTTTTTAATTGTTGTTCTATTACAGTTGTCCCAATTTTCCCCCGTTGCTCTCTCCTGCCCAGTCCCCTGCCCTCTGCCCCCCTTCCCACAGTCAATCCCCATGCTGTTGTCCGTGTCCGGGGCCATTTATACTTGTTCTTTAACTAGGCCCAAATTTCCTTTCTTCCCAGTACTTTACTTGGTCCTGGAGGACAAGGACTGCCTCCCCTGCTCCCTTGCGTTCGCCTTCACAAAGCTCGTTGTGCCACGCTGCGGCTGGCAAGCCCTCCAGGAAAGTCGAAGATAGAAATTGGCCCATTTTTCTCAGGGCGGTCCCAGACTCAGGGAGAGCTGCTGGGAGTAGTTGGGGCTCCCTTTCCCCGGTGACTCAGAACAGGAAGTGACCACATAGGCAGCAGCATTGTGACAGCAGCACCTGCCAGCCCCCCAGGCTGAGCTGACAGGGCGGTGCTCTGAAGGGTCCCCAGGCTACACTTCTGTGCCTGCCCCCCCAGGACACCACCTGGCTGGAGAAGTCCCCAGGGCAACTCTCTTCCTTCCTTTCTCTCCCCCACGCCCCCCCATCCCAGCAGAGGACTCAGTTTAAATATTCTTTAAAAATCATAATTTAATATTACAACTCTGTTCCACCAAACACAAGCCTGCTTTGGCTTACAATTGTGAAGATCTTGTTACGTGTGGGGACAATAACCCCCCAGCATCATGTTCTCAACATGCAGCAGCTTCAGTTACAGAGTAATTGTTGCTGGATTTGATCCTAATTTCAGCCACATTTTCAACATTTTTTCCCATAGCGATAAAAAGAAGGATCTCTCCACCCACCTGCAGTCATCTTCCTCTCTCCTTATAAACAGAAGTACCCCAAACCCTCTGAAAACACAAATTTCCAACTTCCGTAAGAGCAGACAAACCTATTCCTCACCAGACCATTGCCTCTGTGTTATCTTGTTTAGTCAGGTGTCATTTAAGCATTGGCAAAGGAGATTAGTGTTCATTTTAAATAGTAAAATTCTACATGGTTTACAAGACAAATACTCAAATATCCTCGGTTGCTAACTCCCAGCAACAACTATCTAAATTAACCAGAGACCCTGAGAGTAAGGCAGAATGAAGAGCAGTTCATTTTACATCTCAAATAAAACAAAAGTTGTGCAAAAATTCTAAACACGCACAGCACATTTAGTTTTGTAACCTGCAGACTAGCAGGCTTTGGAAGAACCCCAAGGTCCCTACCTCGTCGACTTCCTTAATGGAGCTGAGGTCGAGCTCAGGCTCGGACTTCCGGTGTCCCAGCGATTCGGAAAGAGCCTCCAGGGCTTGGTCGCTCATTGTGTCCTGTTACAAAGGAAAAATTCTGTCCATTAGAAAAAGAGACTCTCTCCTCAGCCTGAACAATCGATCCACTTCTTTGTGAAATACAGTTTTCAAATCTAAAAGATGAATCATGGATTGGAGAAGGACTTCAGGAAGGCAATTTTATGGGAAACCTAGCAAAAGAGAGAAATAATAGAGAACTTACCAGGGAGTGAAAATGGGGGCCAAGCCGTGTTGCTACGGTAACAGTGCCCCCAGGGGTACACCGAACCTCTTATTTAGCAAGCTAGAAGTATAACTGTAACCATAATTATGCCATTACAAAGTACTCATATCAAAATAAAAGCCGCAAAAGTAAACTTTCACTGTCTTGTCTTTTTTTTTTTTTTCTAAATATGCCTCTGGCAACCTGTCCTGTGGCAAACCAGCTAAGCCCCGGAAGCAGGGAAGGCCGAGGTGGCCCAGCTGCCTTCTTCTCTGAAGGCCCAAAGGCTGTCACTGCAGGAACACCCACTCTCAGGGGTGTGGCGCTCTCACTGCTCCCCGCCAGCCAGATAAAAAAAACAGTCCCTCCAGCAGGAGAGAGGCAGAGCTGCTCCGACAGAAACTGTTGCTTGTATTATCTGGTCTGTTTGCAGTGGGCATGTTTTTCTCTTCCAGCCCAGAGCAGGGAAGGCCACATTTCAGGATTCGTGAGAATTCTTCAGAGCTGACTGTGGCTAAGAGAGGTGGACAGGAGCGGCTACAACACCCCTCTCTCTTGTCATTTCACAGGGCTCAAACTCCTCAAGGAGACCACATTGAAGATTTTATGTTCCAAGAGTGTAATTTCTCTGGTGTCCTGCCCTCTGTGTATTGTAATGGTGAGACAATCTTCATTCCCAACCAAGAAGATTTGCTGAAACCTCCCATAAGCATTTGCAGAAACGCAGAAGGCCTGCCTGGAGGTGAATATCACCGAAGTTTCACCCTTCCCCGTGGATCCCAGAGAGAAGAGATGCTGCTGGGGGATGCGACTGTCCTAAATCAGTGAGCTCAACCTCAGGAAAGCAACTGCTGTCTCATAGACCACGGTTAGTTTCAAAAAAGTAATCATTTATACCTCCTCCACCTTTCTTTTTTTCTCAAGGGGTGGAACAGCACTTTTGATTACCCTGGCTGACTCAGCTTTTAACACTTCTCCCGTAGATTTCTGAAAAAGAGAGGATGAAAGATTACATTTATAGATGAGGGAAATGTAAACACCAGAACTAAAAAGCTGTTTTAAAGTTGAGAGGGTTTCTAACAAGTTGCCCTAGTAACATTAAAAAGAATACCTTCTCAGTTTTCTTTCCCCCAGGGGCAGGAGAGCTGCAGGTGAAGTCCGATGACAAGGCATCAATGGCTTCATCGGGCCCCGCGGGTTTCTAAAGAAACAGGCACCACAATGGGTAACACAGGGGATCATTCGAGCGAAAGACCAGACTACAAACCCAGCAAAGGGAGACTGTACTTTGGCAAGTCCTTTACCACCACAGGAGACTTGTTAAGAAAGTAACTCAGAAGAAAGCCTGTGTTTGGAAGGGAATGGGTTTTGCAATATTATCTTTCTGTTCCCTCTTCTAAATGCATTACATGTTGGGATATTTCCCATTCTATTTTTATTAACATTTGTTTTATCCTAAAACTTTCTTGACTTCATCTTTCTTCCTCTCCAAAGAACTCTGTATGAAACCAGTAAGCACCGAGACAACTCTCACGCTCGTTCACCCCCTTCCTCCGAGCAGATGGAAACTTCATCCGATTTAGAGATTACTTTAGCCACAATACAGCCCTATCCGCTAACCAAAGATATAAAAAGTGCTCATTTGTATCTTAGAAGACATTTATGTAAACTCACCGAAGGGTCTGGAGGAGGCCCTGTGACTCCTTCTTTTTTCTGAAACAAATATTAATTTGATAATGTTGAGAAGTCAAAATTAATCCTTACAATCAGCAAAATGTGTTGCTCTGTAACTGTTATGGGTTGAATTATGTCCTCCCCAAAATCACACTATTGAAGTCCTAACCCCTAGTACCTCAGAATGTGACTGTATTTGGAGATAGGGCCTTTAAAGAGGCAATTAAGGCTACATGAGGACATTAGGATGGACCCTAATCCAATATAACTGGTGTACTTATAAAATGGGCAAATATGGGCCAGAAATACCCATAGAGAGAAGACCATGTGAAGAAATGTATAGGAGATAGCTCTACAAACCAAGGAGAGAGGCCTGGAACAGATCTTCCTTCAAGGCCCTCCCTCAGAAGGAACCAACTCTGCCCAACCCCTTGATTCTGGTCTTCTAGCACCAGGACTGTGAGACAATGTATTTCTGTTGTTTAAGTCACCCGGTCTGTGACTCTGTTATGGTAGCTCTAGCAAAATGATATAGTGAGTGCCATAGTAATGACAACTTCCTATGCTCCATTTATTTCCTAAATTTAAAAAACTGTGACTACATTGATGTGATAAAGATTATACTACCAAAAAGGAAACAGTAAAGTAAAAGTAAATGGTTATTTAACTTACATTCAGAAGCTCCCTGTATTTTGGAGGAATTGTGACTTCTCTTTTACCCAATTCTTCTATGTAGGTAGAACTCATAGGATCCTGTAATAAAATCACACACACAGTGATATTATATAATTAATTAGTTGAGAATATTATAGGCATATTCTGAAACCAAAGTACTATTCCATTCTTAATTTATGAAACTACTGAAATAAAATGTAAAACATTACGAAGTCAATACTTTCCACAACTCTGAAATTCAAAGCTTATACAAACACCTTCCCTTATTTAATTAGTTTAACCCATATGTAATGCTACGAAATATCCAAATCACTCTATTAAACTTGATTCCTATATTAAAAGACATTTGACTTTAAATGTATTTCGCTGATGTTTCCAATTCATACAAAAGTACAGCTAATAACAATAAATGTCTATATAACCAATACCTAACTCTATCAGATCTATAGTTTTTTCTACAAAAAGTTAGATAGAATGATGTCTCCAGCTTAGCCCTTTCCAACTCCATTGCTCTTCCTTGTTACCAGAGATAGCTACCAACCTAAACTTTATCATATCTACCCATTTAAAGCTGAGCATATTTTACAATGGTTATTCTACATGCAGGCATCCACAAACAATATGCAGCATTACTTTGCATATTTTCAAATGTTATATCAATGGTACATATTCTACATATCATTATGTAATATTATTTTCATTCAAAATTATGTTTTTGTGTCTATGTTGACATATAAATAGTCCACTTTAATCCCTACAAAGTATCCCATTTATTATCTTATCTTCTTTTGAACACAGCTTTTCTTCTAACTCCTTGTACACAGTGCAAGGCTCCCTCTGGGGACTTGGTCTAGATGTGGAATTGCTGGTTGGAGGGGATGCACATCCTCCACGTTCACAAGCTCCCGATGAGCTGTCAGACTTGCACAACTTTTCCCAATCTGGTGTGAAGTGATTCCTCTTTATGTTTTAATATCACTTTCCTACTTACTAGGGAAACTTCCACTGTTTATTAGCCCATCAAGTTTTCTCCTAATTTTCTATTGGGTTGTCTTTTTCTCACTTTTTAAAACTCTTCATAAATTCTGTCACAAGTCCTTTGTTCTCTCTGCTGCAAATACTTCCTTCCAGCTTATAGCATATCTTTTCCTTTTAAAAAATATATAATTGTCTTGCTTTTAAGGAATTAAGAATAGGGATGAATTGAAGATGGTAAATATCTAGTAATCAAAATAAGTTCAAGTCCATGGGTCTTAAATCTCAAGGACAGAAAAGTCTTTATGACCCAATGGGCTGTATGCCAGCAATAATCTCAGCACAGACAAGCAATGAATGTTTCCTGAATCCATATGATAGTGCAGCGGCCACAGGATAAACTATTCCCATCCTAATACTAATTTCAGTTACTGCTGTTGATACTGCCATCATCCTACTTCTCTCAAAGCAACAGAACACTAGGTACACTTCTGTGCATCGTGACTTTATTTTGTTCTCCTACCCATGAAGAATGAATCTTTACAGATATTAAGATCACATACTGAAACTTCAGGTCCAGTATAAGTTGTATTATCTTGTTCAGTTTCTTCAGGTTCTCCTAAAGTATCTATTAAGTCATCCAAAGCAGCATCCATGCCTGACTGAAAAGAAAAGAGAACAGAGATTTAAACGTTATTTGTTATACACCACACTTTTGATTTTTTAAAACTATAAAATATCATTCTGTGTAGAAAAATACCAAACATCAAAAGTTCTTCAAATATCAAAATAGTTAAATCTGGTCTCAGTTAAACCTTATAATGTAAAGTCTCAGAGAACAGATTCGATTTTTTTTTAATTTATTGAGTTTTAGAGAGAGAGGGAAAGGCGGTGAAGATAAAAAAAAGTGATTAATTTTTTTTTGCAACTACCTGTTAATGTAATAAAATTTGGGGCCTCCTAACTTTAATTTTTTTTTAATCTCCTCACCCAAGGATTTATTGATTTGAGAGAGAGAGAGAGAGAGAGACATTACTGTGAGAAAGAAACACTGATCTGCCACCTGCCGTATGTGTCCTGACCAGGGAACGAACCTGCAACCTAGGTATGTATGTATCCTGACTACCCTGACCCTGGATGGAAGCTGCAACCCTTTGGATAACAGGACGATGCTGGAGGGGCCTGCTAGATTTAGACTGATTCAATTGGGAATTTCAGAATGAAGAAGTACCTGACATTCTTTAGTGATACCTCTGGTAAAACAAGGTATATTTGCAGGAAAGAAACTGGAATGTTATCTTCATGGGATGTATGTAACTGGAGTTTTTGGAACAGGAGGTTATACTATAAAATATTACAGACATATGTGGGAATATCACACTTTCAACCCAGTTATATTAACTTAAAGCAAATCATTAAAAAGGTTCTTTAAGTTACCCTGACCTCATATTTTTTGCCCTCAAGAAATCAGATCTTGATCGAGAGGCTATGAATAAGTATCTTATGCAGAAATGCACTGCCACCTTCATACCTTTCCAGACGATTTATCCGGTTTGGACTCAACTGGTACTGCCGATGTTAATGACTTATTTTCTTTTTTCTGCTAGGGGTTTAGAAAGAAATAAAAACTCCTTCACATACATTTATAAAATTCAATAATATTACACATATCAAAATGAATTCATTATAACGTTAATGGCTATGTTGTATGTGTAATATCCCTTTTTCAGAAGAGCATACATAATATTAATAAATAATAAGATAGATTAGTGATATGGAAAGCAAGGGTCAGAGAGGTTACATTTCTTTTTCCAGGTCACACAGTAAAAAACAGACCCAAGATTGGAATTGAGAGCAGCCCATCTCTGTTTTCACTATTCTTGGATGCCCCTCCTAGGGACCACAGCCAGTCTTTGCAAGTCCCAAAAATTCTTTCTGCAAGTGTCCATTTCCTCTAGCTGTGGCTATTTCAGTCTTTGCCCCACACAGCAGGACCTGCCCACCCCTTGGTTTGGCATCTCACCACCCATCTGTCCTTTATTTACCTAAAATGAATTTACTTCCTACATTGCTTCAGTTGTGCTATCAGTGATTGCCAATAATTATCCAGTCTGTGACTTCACGCCTTTACCCAGACCCTGGTGAGGACCCCTCTCCTGACTCACCTCCCACAGCAGCTGTGACCGAGCACCACCCTGGTTCCCCTGGGGCGTTTGTGCCCTCTGTTCTCCACCACCTCTGGCATCTCTTCTGCTTTGCCCCCAACTGCACACGTTTGGCACGGCTCTGCTGTGTGCTAGTTGTCCTATCCAAAATCATTCTCTAGGCCATGGGCCAACCGCTCTTAGCGCCTGGCAGCAACTACATGGTCAAAGTTGCCAGGATTAGGACAATAGGAAACCATGTTCCACTTGCAGGTCCCTGAAATCTGGGCAGCAGAGCATGGAGCACAGACTCCGACTGCCTGGGTCTGCACGCCAACAAGCACCGGCTGCCTCAGACTTCAGGCAGGTCACATCTCCTGCACCTCGGTGTCCTCACGTGTGAGAGGGATAGCGACTGCACCTGCCTTTGGGGTTGTGTGGGTGAGATAAGTGAATCTATGACAACGTGAAAGCCAGTGTTTAGCACATACTGAGCCCTTTGTAATTATTTAATGTTTAAGTAAGCATTAAATAAATGACTGTATGGCTGTTTTATTAAAAGTACTGTGGAGGCCACCAAGTGTGAGCCTGAGTCTAGGCAACTGAATTCACCTCCAGGATTCAACCACAGCCTTAGGCAGACACTCATTCATGTTCCTTCTACCCCAATTCTTTCTCTTCCCATTTTTTGATACTCCAAAATGTTATTCTGATTGCCCTGCTACACGTCTTTCTTGGGACACCTCAAACACTTATATTTAGCCTGTTCAAAATCAGACACGGCTTTTCCTCCTCAACCAACTCCTCTTGTGACTTCTGCCCACCCCAGCGGTAACCAGGGACTGGGCTCACCACTGAAGGAGGCGCCCGTCTCATAGATGTCGGCCCCGCACTGGTACGAGCCTCACATTAGGGGTTGCCAACCCGGCTCATTCAGTCTCAAGCTCCAGGTTACCTGAGATTTTACTTTACCTTTGTCTAACCATTTCCTGAAACCTGAAGGTTTTACCTCAGCAATGCCTCCTCCATTACTCCCCACTAGCTTATTCTATCTCAGCTCTAATTTACACTAAATTAGGACTCACCAAAATGAGCAGAATAGCCCCTGACCACCCTCCCACCCTCCCATCTCTAATCCATTTCATCCCAGCCCCTGCAGTCACTTTTAATCGTACCACTCCATCTGTTCACTAATCTTCAGTGTTTATTCCCTGCCTGTTAAGTCACTAACTCACCTTCGCAGTCTCCACAGTGATGCCTCCACCCATCTTTCTGATCTTGTGGTCCCACTGCTCACCCCTCTGTGCTTCACCCAACACTGGAATGCACTTTGTACCCAGAACACATCTTATGCTTTTCCATGCCAATGCCTCCTCTGCAAGCCTGCAGTCCAAGCTGCCTTCCCACACCTCACTCAAACTGGATCTGCTCAGAGTCCTGGCAGGTTCCCACCATCAGACAGTGCCTCCCGTCCTCACCAAACTGCAACCTGACTTAATCTACATCGAGTTGCACTGGTAGAGTCAGACACAGTGCTTTAAGCATGTAAGTACAAAAAAAAAAAAAATGAAGATCTGATCAACCCCATTTTACAGAAGACAAATCAAGGCAAAGAAAAGTTAAGTGATTTGCCACAATTTCCAGCTCAAGCCATTGCAACCCAAAATTCCATATAAGCCTCTCCTAATTTTATTGTTCACCTTTCCCTGTAACCCTAAATTATATCTAACATAAAATTTCCAATTACATTCCACCCTAACAGATCTAATCCTCTCTCTTAAATATTCTCACGTCATCAACAAGAGAGAGTGACGTGTACCCCTGGGGTGGGTTGGACACGGGGTCTCAAGTGATCTGCAAGAAATATTTTTTAAATTAAGCTTAAAAAATAAGTGGGTATTTTCACTTAAAAGTTTGTATAAAGTTTACCAGTACTCCACAAGAGATCTGCATTAGTTTGAATAGAAACAATGTGCATTTTCTCTCCAAATCTGAGAGCAGTGTGATGTTTCAGGGAGATGTGCCATAATTTGTCCTGTGACTTTCCTTACCACTGAGGCTGCAGGAAGATGCCTTTCTCATTTTGAGAAGCAGGAAAACAGATAAATACATACTACTTCTTTCTATTTTCATTCCCCATCTTCTCGTTACTGCTTCAATTACTTGCTTATGGTTTCCAGAGAAATAATTACTAGCATTTCTAGAGAGACACAGCTCCAGGCTGAGGTATTGCTATGGCAGAGTCGTTGACTGCTTCTCATCTTACAACTCCAGGCTAGAATCTTAATGGGCTCATCAAAGGATCTAAGGGGGGCTTGCCCATAATTTGCCAGACAGGCACACACACTCTCTTCTGAGGGGGTTTGATGATGTCTGCTTTGAAAACCTCCCATTTCAATTCATGTGGATGCCATGGCTGTTTATGGTTTACCAGTAACAAACTTGAAAGCTGAGAGTGATGCTTATTCAAATGCTCTTGGCAATTTTGTTTGCTTCTCAAACCTGTATACCTTGAAGGCAGGATCTGAGTCAATTCGCATGTTAATTTCCTTGGTACGGATACCAGGCCTATATACGGCAGGTGATCAATAAATATTTATTGAATTTTTATATTTTAATATCAATTTTGGTATCTTCCTCACTCTATATCCTTGAACTACATGCAGGGGTGTCAAACTCATTTTCACTGGGGGCCATGTCAGCCTTGAGGTTGCCTTCAAAGAGCTGAAATAATTTTAGGACTGTATAAATGTAACTACTCCTTAACTGTTATGGAGTTGAAATTACATTTGGCCCTTTGAAGGCAACTGGGAGGCTGATGCGGCCCCCGGTGAAAATGAGTTTGACATCCCTGAACTACATGATCCTCTTCACATATTTTCATGTACAAACAGTGTTCACTTTCATTTGAGTGTGGTAGCAGTGGAACCCTAACGAGAACCAGATGTAAAGCCCAGGTAGAATGGGACTCCACGGAGCATACATTTCTCATAGGGCCTGATAAGCACTGCAGCCCATGTACACTCTACATCTGCTTACATGTACCCACCTTGTCATCTGACTTGCCAGATGCCGCAGCTACATTGGCAACAGCACTCTTTCCACCAGCAGAAATCATGTCCCCTGATTTAGTCTAAGGGTGGAAATAAAACATTAACAGGACTAAGTCTTTATGAATGACTGTTTTCAAAAGTATACATTTCAAATGTCACCACTGTGCCAGTTGACCCTTGTGGGCATTTTGTACAGGAACAGTCACTAGCATAGCCTGCACACAGAGTAGCACTGAGCACCACATAAGGCTGGACTGACGAGCTTACAGTGTCTGTGCAGTGAGGTGGGCCAGGCAAGTTAGAGCGTGTGCAGCAGGTGTAAAGCTCTCACCAGCTCTTGCCATGTGAGCCCACCATGCCAGATGTTCTGATTTTTCAAGTTAAGCTTCTGATTTTACATGAACTATTCTGACTTTAATTTTTGGTAGCTATTAAAAAGAATTTAAATAACATTGTAAGCCAAACAGAATACCTTTGAACAAAACACACATAATCTACATTTAACTGGTGTGCCACGGATTTATAACCTCTGATCTAAAGTACGTTGTTAAGCTGGCCTAGTGCTTGTCTTCCAAGAGTTCTCAATAAAAAAGTTCCTCTTATGTTTGTTTATTCTTCTAATAGCTAGTTGGCCCCCAGTAGCTCTAGAAATATTGAATCTATTTCCGACATTTGGCTCTATGAGTTCATCTCTTCTAGATCAAGACTCTAAAAACTGTGTAAGAACTCCATGTAAATGGCAGGCCATGCAGGGCGTGTGTGTCCCCACAGCCCACGAGGACAGGGGCAGCCTCAATCCCACGCTCCCGCCCGTGAGGCATGGAGCCTGGGGCCCTGCTGTTGTGACTGGGCACTGCTGGGCAGGGGAAGGCTGGACAGAACATCCCCTGGACTCCTCTGGTACTCTTCTCAGGCCTTCCATAGGCCCACAATTCCACAAGGCTAATTGCAAACCAGTAAAATGATAGCCCCAAACCATTACAATACAAGATACATTCGTCACAGGTCTGCAGATTCACTACCACATGTCAGTGGAGAGAGAGGACCTGCCCCTTACTCCCTGATTGATTCAGCATTTCCCAGCTATTAGTCTGATTTATTTACCGTTGCTTTGGTTGAGTTCTCTGGTGTTGGCTGCTCACTTGATCTGGAAACTGCTTTTTGTTTGTGTGCATGCTTGCTTTCTGTATCTGATGCATGTTTTGGTAGGCTTTTGGGCTGAAAACACACACACACCATGTTGTTAAGAAGATGGCAAATATAGATATTTTTCTCAATCGAGTAGAAAGTATTCACAACAGTTGTGTTTTATGCAGTTTTGAATTGTGCTAATTTTAAATTGGTATAATATAAATGTGATAAAATTTCACGTTAGGTACAAAATTTGAAATAATGCAAATCCTTCTGCTGAAATTCAGCAAGAATCACCAGTAAACTGCAAATACTGTTACTGCCACATGGTGGCACCAATTTAGCCAAAAACAAAAACCAAACAAACCAAAAACCAAAACACCAGTGAGTGATCCTCACTGGACTTGTTTCTATAGCAATTTACATTTGTTAAAATTTCTCAGTTACAGTGGGTATTCAATATTATTTTATATTAGTTTCAGGTATACAGTATAATGGTTATATAATCATATAATTTACAAGTTGATCCCTCCAGGGACTTAAGTCTTGAATGATGAGGGTTTCATATTTTTCACTCACACACGCAAAAGGTTTTGCCTTATAATATCAAGTCCTAATGGTGATTGTTTACCTCTGTGTGTTCCTTTGGCTTTACTTCTGGAGGTTGTTTCTCATGAATCACAGGTGGCTGTCAATTTCAAAAGATAAAATCTCAATCACATTGGATTTCATTGTTTTCATATTTCCAAATAGGCTCAGGAGCAACACTCCCTATTTGACCACTCCACCTCTCTGGAAAATGACCCAGTTAGAGCGGTAGGTGTTGCTGCATGGTCAGCAGCAATCCCACCAACAGTCTGATAATGGCAGTTATCAGGAGAATAACGAAAAATTTAGTTTTTCACCTAGAATAGTTTTTTCAGGTAGGTACATCTCTGTAAAGTATTGGCTGTTTTTCATAACTCATGCAGATCTTTCAGTAACTGCAGGTCTGTCCACAGAGACACCGAGTGATCGCTGTGACCACTGAGTTTGTGGAAAGAGGACCCTACTCTAGAAACTAAATTTTTTAAATATCCTCTTACAGGAGATAAAGAAAACTGCATTTTCTCTTCAATTGAATGATTTACATAGTCTTTTCCATGTTACAAGTACAGAAGAACCTTGAAACCCGGTGCTCTGGAAATCAGGTAGTAACCAAAGTATTTACATATAAAGTAAAAGACAGCCTCCACCTGACTGCTGAATTCTTCCCCTGGAGTGGACTATGGAGTCACCATCACCCCAGGGCTGCCAGGACACCAGACACACAATCAGATAAGCCTAGGCTCTCACCCTGGTGACCACACCCTTGCCTGCACTTAAAGTACTGGAGCCAGAAGCATCTCTGTGCTTTCCCACAGGAAACCTTGTGGTTTTATCAGAGTACTTGCTTAAGCATGATTGAAAGAAATACAGAGGAGCACCCGATTGAAGAAAAACACTGGCCCTGGCTGCAGACACCCTGGGGCACACAGATTGGCTTTCAGTCTAGACAGCCCTGAGTCAAGAAAGCCTGAAAAGCTATTCCCAAGGGAAAGTCAGAACTGTCTCCTGAGTAACTGGTTCCACCAACCAAGATAAGACTGTCAAGATTAAGCCAGCGGCCTCTAGGGAAAGACTCCCATCTTTAACTTAGCTAGGTGCTAGATTCAACAGACATAGTTATTCTGGACAGCTCATCATTAAAGTAACTGGATACTCACTACCCTTTGCTCTCCATCTTTGTTCCTGTCGCTTATTTTTAAACAATATAAAAATATAGATTTGAACAAAATTCTTTCTGAAATATAAATTTTTATTTATAAAATAGCATTCATTAATTTTAACTATATAAATTTAATGTTATAATTACTTTACATATGCTCTATAATATCATGCAAAAAATAAATTAGCTGACTAAAATCCTTTTAACCATTCAGTACCACCAAAGGAGGAAGTTGGTTAATCATTATTATGGCAAAGAATCCAAATAACTCATAGTTGACTTTAATCACTTACCTTAGTTGATTGTAACTTCTCAGGTTCTGTTTTTACAGCCTAAATTCAGGAAGAAAAAGAAAGGAAGGAAAAATGGACATCATTTACAAAGCTTATTATAGATTTTCTTCAACTAAGGAAGCTAAAAAAAAGATGATTTTGATATATTTATAAATGTAAATGTTATAAGTTAGGATTATTATACTTTGCTTGGAATTGTAACCATTTAGATAAACACTTAAGCATATTAATTAATAGTCTGCGCTTATAATTTAGGTACCAATTTACATCTTACTTTTTCCTATGTCCGTCAAAGACATGTAAAGATTTATTTCTATGAACACTGTAGCTAATACATAAGCAAAATGAAATAAAAACCCTCATCCTGCAAAGCCACACGAGCATGGTCAATCCCTGTATGTGTGAAGTGGTCATCATACGTTTCAGCTGACAGTGTGAAGCGATGGGATGGTGACAGAACCGAGGCCACAGACAGCAGTGAGATTTATTTTTAGTGCCAGAATGTGGGCAATGGTGATAAAGCCCCCCAGAAAGTCTGTGGCGGGTCAGAGAGTTACAGAAGATTGTGAACTGCAATTAGCACATGCTGAGCAGCTAACGTGACCAGTACAATGAACCACATCACCTGTCTTTTGTGTCTTTTCCTATTAGGAGGATGCAGTCCTTTCACCTCTTTGCTGACTGGAATGGCCTAATGTAAGAGCACAGCCCCAGGTGTGGTTTTATTTATCTGGCAGTCAAACAAGTACCAGGTATAAATAGGCCCAAAATGTTTCTCTCAAGACCCATTCTACTCATGTGATACATTTATTCTGTGCAGGCAGATATAACTCCATGATGTTATAGGCACTTATATTTTAAAGTCTTAAGCAAATATTTCAGTTTGGATTTATTCTTTTGGGTGGTAGAAAATCTGTAAGATTCCCATTAATAAAATTAACTTCGAATCCCTCTCCTTCCCCATCCTCCTCCCTGTAAAGGCCGCTTGAGCAATATGTTGGTTACGTTCAAAGGAGCAGCCACAGATGCTGTCCAAGTTTTTCTGTAATTTTCTGCAACATGGTCTTACAACAATTTTGTAAACAGTGAGCGTATTCTTATTTTACAATAAAAATCTACAGATCTAATCTAAAGTTCTAGGAATACTTCTGAAGGGCTGGTTGTGATTTAGGATTTTCAGTGGAGTATTCCACAGAGTTTTACCCAAACAAATGTAAACTATGTCAGAAAATTCCTTAAATACACCCATGAATGCAAGATATGGAAACAAGAATAAAACATAGGCAAACATTTTATGAACTTTTCAAAGTAATAGATTAAAAATTAGGCCAAATACTTCCTGTCATTTCCCTTTTATCTGTTTGGTGATATTAACACAAACTTTTACTTTTTATTCTATTTTCTGAAAAGAGTATGCCAAATATCCTCTTAATTTATTGCATCTTATGCTTCAGTGATAAAGATATACATGTTCTGCACAAAACAGGCCCTTGTAGCTTTGGGAAGAAAACCAGTTTATGGTCCGAGAAATATTTTAAAGAAATTTTAAATTTTGGATCCTTTCAAACTGGACCTTTGTTAATGAGTTTCCATATGTGTTACTATGCTTTTCTGAGTTTATACAAATGTAATTGTTTAAATGATTGACAAGGAAAATAATCAAGCTGGTATTGTAGTGGTTTCAGTCTATTAATAGCTTCTATTTTGGCATCAAGATTTTGCCTGGAAGAACTCTAAAATACAATTAAGAATATACACTCACAGATACAAGCAGCTTATAACAAAATGTACATTTTCATCAGTAGTCACTAAAACATTTTCTAAATTTATTTCTGGTGGTGGGTGCTGATCAAAATAGTGATGACAATGATACCTAGTGCTTACTGATCACCTGTTAGGACCAGGACTATTCTAAACTTCACATGTGCCAACTCCATCCCCATAATAGTCCTATGAGATAGGTATCACCACCATCATCATCATCATCTGTATTTCATGGATAAGAAATTGAGGCACACAGAGGTTAAGTAACTCTCTGAGGACAGCCATGGAGTTCTCAGTCAGGGCATTGTCTCCAGAGTACCTGCCTGCTCCTACTGGTTACCAGCAGAAGTAAAGATTTTCTAAGTTATCTAGGACAGGCACTGTCCAATATGTATGTTTGTTTCTTCACACAGTCTTGTGACTATTTTCATTCCCTCCAAACTGCAACCAAAGCAAAGAGGAGTTTTCCAACATCACAGCTGGTGGGGACTAAGATTCTGAGCAAGGCCATCTGGCTCCAGTGTCCACACCTCATAATCCTTTTACGTAGCTCATCCTGATAATATGATTGGAAATAATCTGAACTTCCACCTCATTCACTGCATTGTGCCTACCAACTCTCCTGTGCCGGGGGTAAGAGAGAGAGAGAGAGAGAGCTCTGAAATCCAAACATGTTACACTCCCTTTAGAGCTAAACTGACTTTCATCTGAAAGGTGCAGAACGTGACAAGGAATTGCTGCAGGTATTATCTTAAATAAACATCTTTTCTCTAAAAGCTCACAATACTTGGGGAAATATACTCATGAAGTTCACAAAAATCTCTAAGAGGAGGTTAGTAAAAATGTTACGAGCCAAACATCAGAGGCACACAAAGACGATTAATGAGATCAGTGTGATTAAAATCCACTGAGGAAAGAGAAGTGGGGCCACAAGTGGTCCCGAGTCAGCTGCTGGTGGTACTGCACCACTTGCATCTCATTTTTCTCTCCCTCTCTTACCTCTCCTACTCTCCTCTCCCCTTCCCTTCTTCCAGGTCCATAACTGGTAGGAATCTCATGTTTAGCACTTAGCGATGGCTGAAGTGGTGGCTGACACTGCTCTGGACAACAGGGCACACTGGACATAGGCGTCAGTCCTCGAGCTGAGAGTTTCAGGATGGACTAGAACCAGGCAATGGGTCAAACGCAAACCAATATGACACAAAGGACGTCCTTCTTCCTGGCTCTCCTTTCTCTGTACTTTGTTAAGTTTTCACAGACTCTAAGGTCAACGAGAACTGTTTTTTGGTAGACTCTTCTATGATAGTTTTAAGATTATTTTAAGACTGAGATTAGCAAATTTTTAATTTTCAAAGATTAGGGCTCATATAAATAAGTAGTGACAGCTAATACTATGAATCTGAACATGTATATTTTGAAAATAAGAAATCAATATAAATATAAAATATTAAATAACAATTTTAGATTAAAAATAAATTTAAAAATTCAAATGACATTTATAAGAGCTTAGATTCAGACTGTGTCTTTCGAGATATTTGCAATGTCCTTTAAAAGCAGTTCAAAATGAGGCCACAGGATCCCTCAATAGGACTACATTATGGTACAGAACTGAATTTTGGTGTAGGGTTCCACTGGGATAGCAAAATAAAATGGAGAAAGCAAAAGCATCACAGGGATTTTAAATAAAAGCAACGTAATAATCATGGAATTGGGGTAGCTCTTAGAGGCATTAAAGAATATTGCTTCACAAGAATTAGTTGAGAGCCTCTTGAAAAGACTCCCTGTTTAAACCTCCACCCAAGAATATCCCCAATAAACAGAGCTGGAGACTTGGTAACTAAGGGAGAGGCTTTGAGGCAGCTTTGGCCAACTCTGCAGGACATTCCTTTTTTTTTTCTTCTGAAATTCCAAAAAAATAATTATTAGAATAAATCCCAAACAGAGCTCAACAAACTTTTATCAGTAATATGGTGCCCCACACAACTTAAATTTCAGAAATAAAATTTGGAAAGCATTTGAAATAACCAGTATCTGTTGCACTTCTATGTTCACTTAGTTCATTTCTCATTCTTATATTTAATATTAAATGACTATAATAATCAAATAATTTTAGTCACGAGTTAAGAATTTGTATTCTTGTTTACATTCAGAGAAATGCACTTAGATTATCTTAGAAATAAAAACCTCTCTCACATCTAGGACCAAAAAAAAAAAAAAACACACAACAACTTTGGGTGACCTTTTTTCTAGATATCCTAAAACAATGCAGAAGTGTATTGATGACATTTGAGGTAAATATTGAAAGGAAAGCTGTGTTTTCAATGACTCCCCAAAATTAGGAAGAAAATGTGTACTTCTATAACATTAGCTTCCTAGGACAACTCATCTGTCAGCTATTAGTCTGTATTTACTTTGCTTTACATGAATCAACTTAAAGGCATTCACCCACATTGACCTGGAAGGCTCTTCATACCTTGGCTTCAGTGGGATTCATGCTGGAAGACTTGCTGGTTGATGCAGAGGAAGTAGATACCTAGGAAGGAAAGAAATAGAAAGTCTGATTCCAGGTAACCTGTGACCTACTTTGTCCTTCAGCTCCTCTTACCCACACTTTCTCTTACTTACCTGTTTTTACTTTGTCTAAAGCACCACTTCCACAAAGCCCAGTAGATGGTTTTGCCCAATGGGTAAAATCTTTTGTAACCAGATCAAATGGTTCAAAGTTTGGATGTGCTACTTACTAAATAATCTTGGCAAGTTACTTAAATTTTCTGATCTTTGGTTTTCCCTTTCTCAATTGTTCTTCAAGAGGTAAAAACTACCTTCTAAGTTTATTACTGATAAATACATAATGGCTCAGGAAATACTATTATAATTATTGTTTGTGCTTTTTTTTGCTCCAATGCCAACTTTGTCAATTACTAGCTTTGTGACTTTGAATCTCAGTTTCCCAAGTATTAATATATAAAATGGGACCTATAGTATCTATTTTGCAGGGTTGTATTTGAGATCATGTGTGTAAAATGTCTGGCACATTGTAGGTACTCATTAAATTGCTCATGCATCATTCATAGCACATGAATGATGTGCTATGATCATTCATATGAATGATGTTGGAGGGGACTAGAATTGTCCTTTCAGTATCAATGTAAGGAAGAGAAGGTGGGAGACAGGGCTGCAGAGGCAATACTGCTCTATTTTCTATCTCATCTATGCTCCTCCCTGGAAGACAAAAGGGGACAAATGGTCCCTAAGACACCTTCCCTGGGGACACAGTGGTGGTGAAATCAGCCTCTGTAATCTCATCACCCATGCAGTGGGCCATGCATGTGATACTTGCGTGGGATTGAGCTCTACTCTGGTACTTAGCTAGCAATACACTGGTTAATACTAAATAGATAATTACTATCTTTGGGAGTTCAAATCCTGGCTCATTAAATCTCCTTAATATTTGAGTCCATTAGATTTTGGAGCCCAGGGATTCCATCTGGCACAAGCTGCCTCTTGAAGTAACCAGCTGTCACTAAACAGCTGCTGACTTACTAGCAATACCCAGAACCCCATCTCTGTGACTGGCCCTGAGCCACCTCAGCGGCTGAGACTCAAGGTAGGATGAGCCCATCCTGCTGGTGCCCTTGCCCCATACACCTACCCACACTACTACTCCAGGTGACTGTATGAATCCACTACAATCCATGGTCCATGAACAAAATCACCTTCCCCACAGACCTTACTTAATGCAGAGCATGTTGGTTACATGTTAAATTACAGCTTACAGATAAAAGCCCAAAGCTTTAATATACTGATTTTTTCAACATAATCATATGAATTTAACTATTCCTGGGTACTATTTGGCACCAACTGAGCATCCCTCCATTCCAACACACACACACACACACACACACACACACACACACGGTCCTATAGCAGGGCATGGAGTGGTCTCTCTCACATTTTTTGAAGGATAAAGAACTGGAAGATGAACCAAGATAAACCCCCCATCGAATTAATGGACAAATATATGTATATTCATTTTTCCCTGAGAATTTTTTTAATTTGTGGGGATTAACATTCCCTTGTGTATATAATCCTGTCTTTCCATACTTACAACTGGTTGTACAAATTTCTATTCAAACTCAAAAAGTTCCTCTTTGCTCTATCTCACTCCTTCAGTACATTCTGAGACACAAAAACAACCAAAGATCAAACATTCCACATGAAATGAGTTTTCAGCTGCAAATCTTCAAGTAAACATTAATTTATTTTTTAAACATCCAAATTTATTAAACCATTCTTCAAATCTCTGGCATTTCCAATATGCTTTACTACTTTATTGAGCAATAGCTAGATGTAGTCCTCTATTCCTAGAAAAAAGACTTTCAAGGACCCACCAAGAACAGTAATATCTACAAGGAATAGCTAAAATTATCACGGGAATTTAGCTGAAGGACTTGGCCCTATCTGTTCTCAGCCCAGATCCATCCATGGAAATTCTATCCCACCACTAAGGCACTAACCATTCTGAAACTGAAATAGGCAAGCGACCTCATTGGGTCTGGAAATAAGGAAAGCAAGCCCACCCCACTGTGAATTCATTCAACTCCAGGCAACTGTAGTTTGTTCAATTTCCTTCTGTCTGTTAAAGACAAGGAACTCTTAATACTTTTTTTCTCTTGTGAAGGACTAAATATACTTTCATTTTAAATCTTTTGTACTGTTTGAATTTGTAATTATGGGTGTGAATAACATTTTTAAAAAATGTGAAGGGTTAATTCAAACATAGTTAGTGCTAAGTATTATGTTTAGTGATGAGAACACAGTGCTGAAACCCATAAGTCACTATCCTTGGGAAAGTTATTGCCTCATCAGAGATAATAGTAACGGAATACTCACTTCAAAGATTACTTGTGGTAAGTGCTCAAAAGGGTCCTACAAGAACACAAACTAGGAAACCAGAGTTAGTTTAGGAGACAGTCAGGACTGTGATGCTGAGGAAGTGACAGTTACGTGGCAGTTGAAGGATAAGGAGATATCACACAGGAAAAAGGCCAGGGGGTGCCATCTGAGCTGCATGTGCAGAAGCTGGGACCTAGGCTGCCTGATTTCTAAACCAGTGACTCTGCTGAAGAACTTACCACTTGGCCAGTCCTGTTAAGATCAAGAGGCAGCCTATTTTAAAACACAAATATCGGCACTCATAATGTAAGAAAATATCTCTATTGGGATTAGACCTGTCAGACAGAATTGCAGCTACAACAACACTTTACTTCCTAAATGACTCATACAAGTCCCTTAATACCCATAGTATTGTTAGTCATTTATAAACCTGAATTAAGATATAAATCAGAGTAACAAAGACTGGAAAAACTAACTTTTGTAATCTTTCTCCATTCACTCATGCCTTTGACAGTTGCTATTTAAAAGACAATGAGAGACTTCTGGTCAAGATGGAGGCATAGGTAAACACAATTCACCTCCTTGCACAACCACAGCAAAAATTACAAGTAAACTACAAAAACAATTACCACCCAGAATCATCAGAAAATTAAGCTGTATAGAAGTCTGACAACCGAGGGATTAAAGAAGTCACATTCATCCAGGTGGGTAGGAGGCGCAGAGATGCATGGAGACACAGAATGGGCAGTGGCACACCCATGTGTGGTAGATAAAAATCAGGTGGGATACCTCAGGAGCAAGGGATCCCAGCCCCATACCAGACCACCCAGACCAGAGGTGAGGGTCCTATAATTAAAATTATAGTCCCTATAATTTTTGGCTGTAAAAACCAGTGAGGGTCAGGGTGGCAGAAAAAAACTGTGGGATTCTCAGGAGCCTCATCTTACAGGGCCTGCAATGGACTTAGGACTCATGCAGACGCACTCCCTCTGGGCTGAAGCACCAGGGCAGCAGCAGGAAGGGCACCAGTGACATATGGGGAGAAACTGAAGTATCTGGCATCAGGGTGAGTGCTGGGGGACAGCTTCCTCCTGGACAATACTCCAGAGGCCAGGCAGCAGCACTGTCCCCTTTCCAGTTCCTCTGCCACACAGAGTCATATAGTCACAGAGCAGCAAAACCATAGCTGCGACTCCAACACAGGTGGCCCCACCCTATTGGTTACCTAAGACACTGCCCCATCCAACTTGTGGGTACACTTCTCTACAACAAGGCCACGCTACTAAGGTAATCAAAGCAGCTCTATGTAACACATAGTTACAAACACAGGGAGGCTGCCAAAATGAGGAGACAAAGAAATATGACCTAAATGAAAGCAGACAACAAAACTCCAGAAAAAGAACTAAACAAAATGGAGATAAGAAATCTATCAGATGCAGAGTTCAAAACACTGGTTATTGGGATGTGCAAGGAACTCATTGGGTACTTCAACAGCATAAAAAAGACCTAGGCATAAATGAAGTTTACACTAAGTGAAATAAAGAAAAATTTACAGGGAACCAACAATGGAAAGATCAAATGGAGAATCAAATCAATGATCTGAAACATAAGGAAGAAAAGAACATTCAATCAGAATAGTAAGAAGAAAAAAGAATCCAAAAATCAAAGATGGGCTAAGGAGCCTCTGGGACATCTTCAAATGTACCAACATTTCAATCATAGGGGTGCCAGAAGGAGAAGAGAAAGAGCAAAAATATTGAAAACCTATTTGAAAAAATAATGAAAGAAAACTTCCCTAATTTGGTGAAGAAAATAGGCATGCAAGTTCAGGAAGTTCAGAGAATCCCAAACAAGTTGGACCCAAAGAGGACCACACCAAGACTCACCAAAATTAAAATGCCAAAGGTTAAAGATAGAGAGAATCCTAATAGCAGGGAAAGAAAAGCAGATAGTTACCCACAAATGAGTTGCCATAAGACTGTCAGCTGATATCTCAAAAGAAATTTTGCAGGCTAGAAAGGACTGGCATTCAAAGTATTCAAAATAATGAAAAGCAAGGACCTACAACCTAGATTACTCTATCCAGCAAAGTTGTCATTTTAGTATGGAAGGACAGATAAAGTGCTTCCTAGACAAGGTAAAGCTCAAGGAGTTCCTTATTACCAAACTATTATTGTATGAAATGTTAAAAGGACTTATTTAAGAACATCAAAACTATGATCATTAAAATGGCAACAAATCCATAACTATCAACAATTGAATCTAAGCAAATAAGCAGAACAGAAACAGAATCATAGATATGGAAATCACTTGGAGGGTTATCAGCTGGAAGGGAGAAGGTAGAGAATGGGAGAAAGGTACAGGGATTAGGAAGTACAAATTGGCAGGTACAGAATAGGCAGGGAGAGGTTAAGTGCAATATAGGAAATGGAGAAGCTGAAGAATTTAAATGCATGACCCATGGACATGAACTAAGGGGAAGGACTGACGGAGGGAATGGGGGTACCAGGTGGAGTAAGGCAAAGGGGGAAAGATAGGGACAACTGTAATAGCATAATCAATAAAATATATTTAAAAAATAAAAATAAAAGGTAATGAGTGTTGCTGATGATATACAACAAATAAGATACTATCACA